CTCATATTGTTATTTAATAAACAATCACACAGTGTAATAAACATTTGCTTAAGTTTAAAATATGTTAAAATGGACTCAAATCAGTCCTAATAATGTTTTACTACTAACCTTACATTTAATTACGCCGTTTTTTTTTAACTTGGCCTTTTCCTTACATACATTTTATTAATAAACTCTTAAAATAAAATAAAATATTTATTTTTACCTTTGGCAATGCAATGTAAAAAACAAACAAAAACTTGTGTCTGAAGTCGAGTCTTTGCTGAATAAAGTCTCGGATTGGGGGCGACTAAATCTAGTCCAGTTCATTCCCCAGAAGACACAAGTTTGCGCGTTTACCGCTAAAAAGAACCCCTTTGTCGTATCTTCTCAGTTTTTTTTTTCATAGGATAGGGTGACAAACGAGCACACAGTCCACCTGATGGTAAGTGGTTGGTGTGGCCCATAGACATCTACATCTATCTTCGATTACGAATCAAAATGCAGATGCGTTGTCACCCGTGAGGACTAAGATGGAATGCCTCGTTTCCAGTAAAAAGGGTATCCGGTTCTCTACACTCACCATACGAAACACAGCAGTGTTACGCTGGTATTCTGTGAGAGCGTGGTCCTTCCCCGGTCGAGCCGACCCATTCGTACTACAACCATAATATAGCTGCAGCATGGCTCTACCACGTTTCAAGGCACTCCCCTTGCTACCTCAGCTAGCATCGGAATCCTCGGCGTCGACATATCGAATAAAGTGCAGTTTCGTGGTCACTTGGAAGGGAGGGTCAAATTGGCTTCTAAAAAGCTAGGTGTGCTCAACAAAGCGAGACAGTATTTTATGCCGGCACATCGCTTGCAACTTTACAAAGCGCAAGTCCGGCCTCACATGGAATACAGTTCTCATCTCTGGGTCGGAGCACCCCTGTGCCAGCTCCTTCCAGTTGACCGCATCCAGCGCAGAGCGATTCGAATCGTCGACGACTGAGTTCTTTCTGATCGGCTCGATACACTGGCACTGCTTAGGGATGTTGCATCCCTTTGCATTTTCTATCGAATTTACCACGGGGAGTGCTCCGAGGAATTGTTGGATTAATTCCAGCCGCCAAATTTCACGAGCGCACAACGCGTAAAAATTCACGGTACCATCCTCACCATCTTGATGCTTGGCGGTCCACGGCTGTGCATTTTCTTCCTCGTACAACTTCTCTGTGGAATTGTTTATTATCGGCGATTTTTTCCGGACCGATATGACTTAAGGACCTTCAAGAAAAGAGCTTACATCTTTCCAAAACGCCGGCAATTCCCCTGGTGTTGCGGTTGTTCTTGGGCGGCGGTAGTCACTAAGCATCAGGTGAGCCGCATGCTCGTTTGCCCCCTCTTCTATAAAAAAAAAATGTTCATGCGGCGGGATGACGCCTGACAGTGGTTTGCTGAGGGGAACCATGCGCCGCTCTACTCGGTTGTATACGCTCCGCCCAGGAGCATTAGTCGCTATGAACAGGACGACAAAGTTGTATTTAGTGAAGTGTTTAATGGCAAAGTTCTTGACTTGTCGGCCCGCTCGCGTATGTACACGCACCCGTTTTTGTTGAAGAGTACGCGAAGTCGTTGGGACATTAGGCCTTGCTGACAATAGTGTTGTTGGCATGCTTGATGTTTGGATAGGTAGCTAAAAATATATAATACTTATGACCAGTTCTTTTACGAAATATCTAGGTTTGGTTTATATATCATACACCTACCTAGAATACGTAATATTATTATATTTTAGCAGTAAACTTACCTGTGTAAAATAACTAAGCATTGTTGCTTTCTTCTTCGTGGCCTTCACCTTGAACTCTCGTATAACATCATTTATATGTTCTATAAACTTTTCTTTATTTTTTAATTTTTATTTAGCCGTTATTCAAATTTCGTTGGCATTCTTTTGGCACAGTTGTGCTGGCAAGTCAGCATGAGAGCCTTTATTTGCCAAGAAAAGCTAATGATGCAAATCTTCCTCTTTTGAGGTTTACCGTTACAGTATGAACTCACTTGTAACAACTCTGACTACAGCAATGTGCTTCTGCGTAAGATGAATACTGATAACGAAAACAAAATAAAAATGACATACAATACAGTCGAGGGATTCCCCGTAAAACATAGACAAAAAAGATTACCAACTTGGGAGGACAAAATAAAAATGACGTACCATACAATCGAGGGATTCTCCATAAAACATAAACGAAAAGGGTTGCTAACTTGGGAGATTTTAATTCCCTTGTTTTTTTATTCAAAATAAAAAAATGTTACGTAACGCGTTGGTCGAACCCTCCTCCCGCCCCTGTAATGCATCGTAACGTTTTACAAGACCCCCCCCCCCCCTCCCCCAAATTGTGTTACGTAATACTTGAACGCCCCCTAAACGGCTTGTTCGGCAGGCAGCAGCATTTTCCTGATAACCGTTATAGCCTATCCAAAATCCACTGTAGAAGATAGACCTCCCCCATAGATTACCTCAGTTGGATATTTGCCGTAGTTACCTCGCTTGGCAAGTGGGTCTAAATTTTCTATGTCAAATGCCTTTTGTGTAACTATGAATTACTACACTAAGGGTTTATATATAATTGTATAAATCGATAATCTAGTATTCTATTAACATTATTAGATGGCAGCCCTAACATTGACCCGTTTCATGTTTATTCGTGAACTAACCAATACAGTGATCAGTTGCCTAATCGAAATGCGTTTTTGTATGCCCGGTAAATGATTCCAAATGTAAAAGTAATTAGTAAGCCTAACGGCCTGCCGGATTACGACCGGACTGAACTGTCTATGCTTATTGAAAACTAATAGTCAAGCACTTGATAAGTTGCGCCTCTGTATCTACGAGTATGAACATTTTTTATTACGACTCAATCTTTACAAACAAAAAAAAAATACTGAATATTATTTCAACTGGTTAACAAGCTAAATATTAATTAATAGAATCAGGCGTTACTTTGCGGAAATCCATTATAATGGGATTGTTATAAACTAATTTGCTTAATTCCGCATAAAAAAGAAAATGATGTGTCCTGCCTAGTTTTAAGGGGACCTCCTAGCCTCCCTCAATCGCGTGCACTATACCCGTGGCCGTCAATCCCAGCACTACGACCCCCAGCACCACAACACTAGGCACGACGCACCACTCTCGAAAATATGACACGTGTTTCGCCTCTACGCGGGCCATCCTCAGTTGAAGTAGACTCTGCGTTCATAGCGGCTAAATATTGTTCTTAATTTATTACTCACGTACTACTGAACTTTTAGTAGTAGCAGAACGTTTAGTTTCACAATCCAGATTAAAGTAAATATTCAACAGCGGATACGTGATAGAACAACGCTTAAAATTACAAATTACAGCTGCAGTGTAACTGTGCTTAAGTATCCAGGATCCGTTGCACTAAGTCTTAGTGATTTTAAATATATAGTGGCTTGCTTGCTAGCAAACGAAGCGATGCGGTGATACAACTTAGTCATCATCTCTTTTAAATCTAGGAAATATTAAATTCAGACGCCTTGCGAATCATCCGTAACAGTATTTGTGGTCTAATTAATCTGACATAACGACGGGGGCGATCTTGAAAAGTATACTGTGGAGATTGGTTGTGAAATTCACGTGTTTAAATAAAATCTGTATGTAGCCCGGTGGCAGGTTGACGTTAGAATCTACACCACCTTAGTTTCGCCGAGATCAGCTGACAGCTGCAAAGCACTCATAGCGTTAGGGAATTTAAATAGACAAATTATATTGTAAATTTATTTTTTATGTTTACTTGAACACTAAACTATAACTTATATAACTATAAATGGAACTAGTTTTTTTTTTTCGGTTTTATCCTCTTTTACAGCAACCATGGTCACGGCGAGGCTTGAAATGTTGGGAATATAAAATAAGTTAATATACGCGATAAAATCTGTAAAAACTAGTTTCTTATAAATTATATTACGTTAAAATCCGTAAAATTGGTTTTATTCAAAACTGACCCTGTTTTAAAAATTAGGCTGACACCTTTATCATAATTTTTAAATAGATCGGAAGTACTGTGCTGTGTTTGTGCTATCGACAAGTATGTTATATATTCAGAATTTATTAATAACACCTGGTATTTTACGGCATTCGTGGTGGAATGAACCATAAATATGTTTAAACATAAAGAGGTTAATAGAAGTGTACTTAATTTAGATAGTTTGCGTCCGTTCTTGATCATGTTTTACTTCTAGTTTCCTACTAATGTATAGCAAAATGGTGACAACTAGCAAAATATAACTTCGAACATTCCTTTTATTTAAGTGCGTTAATTTGTATTTGCATTAACAGGCGTTAAGATTGGTAGAAATTAAAACAATATTATAAGTACAGTTCGTTCTCACGTCGATATTTTTCAGATCTTTAAAGGGAATAAAGAAACGGCCTACCCTCTTGGATATGAGTGGAGGTCTATCCGTGTTGTTGAAATGTGGACTTCACATATCTTCAAAGTATTTTTTTCTTTCTCAGACTTGCAGCTTTCCTTACAATATTTCATCGCCGTGTAAATGGAAAATCAGTACTTAAAATTGCAAAATGACAATTTTATTGGTGCCAGCGAGGAAAGATCTTTGCTTAATCTGAGCTACCACAGCTCATGATTTACAACGAATTGTTTTCATTTTGTCAGTGGTCCACGAACGAGCGGCATCATAATATGCGTGAAAGACGCTCAAAAATTACGAATCCGTCAAAACAAAACTAAAGTCACCTTGTCGCTGTGCGAAAATGTATTAGGTTTTTTTTTATTTGCCACACGTACGGTGTTGTGGCGGATCATGTAGTATACGTTTTGATAATCCATTATTTTATGAATAACAATTCAGTAAAAAACGATACGGTTTATAAAACATAAACATCTTTTTGTATATTGAACGAATCGTTACTAATGATGAAGCGTCAATGACTATGATATGAATTTCAGACCCTCGGATATTAAATTATTCTCACTGTGTTTTAGCTGGACACATGGTTCGGGAGGCCGAAGAAGGCGGGCGGCGGCATCGAGCGCGGCTACGAGACGGTGCCGAGAGGGACCGAGCCGCGCGCCGAGGAGGACGAGCCGTCCGCCGCCGCCGAATACACCAGCAAGATCGACGCACTTGACGATACGCAGTTGCAACGACGCTTCGAAGAGATGCTGGTGAGTACAGTTGCCAACGTATTGAAAAACCCTTTACAGGTTATAGAAATCAACAGAGAATTTAACTCATTTCAATTTCAGACTTCGCGTTCAAATCCTAATATTACACCATGGTATATTTTTCTGGTTATTCTTGTGTTGGTGGTAGGACTCCTTTTGTTGCTTGCTGGCTTGCTTGTGTTCCGGTTTGAAGGATATAAAGAGCCAGTATAATTACAGGCCACTTGCCATCAAGTGGTTTTGAACTGATTAAGAAGAAGTACAATAAATGGTATCTCAATTCTTAGAAGTATTTTTTATAGTAAGGCTCATAAACTAGTACACAGTCCACCTGCTGGTAAGTGAATTCTGTGGCCTGTAGACATCGACATCTATCCCCGATTAAGAATCAAAAACGTTGTCACCCTGAGAACTAAGTTGGAATGCCTCGTTTCCAGTAAAAAGCGTCTTCAGTTCTTCACACACCATACAAAACACTGCAGCATTAAGCGTGATCCTTCTTGAGTTGCACCGACCCATTATATTCGTGTTACAGCTGTAAAATAGATGCAGTGTGGCACTCCCTGTGTCTCGCTTCATCGCCGGACGAAATCTTAACTAACCTATTGATAGGTTACCACTTTATTTTCTAATAATTAATCTATAATTTTATCTTATTCACAGACCGACATGAACATCAGTGAAGAAAAGAAAGAACCACTAAGAAAATACTCGAGGGATCAAAAGAAAAAAATGCTGGTTGCCTACAAGTTTGTAAATGCCCAGGTTCGTTTGTAAATTGCTTAAATCATACATTTTTTTCATTTCATTATTATCATTATTGCTTGTCAAAAGTACAATGTTGAACTATTGAGGTCATTGAACATAGTGCTGAGGTCCTCCAGCGATCATAACATAATGACTATATTGTTGACAAACCAAAGGTGAGTGATATACTCACCATTGATGTCGATATCGTACCTTTACCTTACCAGTCGTATCAGTAGCAATGGTAGGCAGTTTCCACCAGTTTGTCATTTATATCGTCCACTATCTTCTAGCACTGAATTAAAATTAAAAGTTAAGTGACCTCGTGCACATCCGCTGGCATGGAATATCGCAGCAGCTAAATATGAGATGACGATTCACATAAGTGATGGAGAAACGTTTTTCCCCTTCACTGTTCTTTTAAACGTTACCCCCACCCTAGAGTTTTTTTCTGTATCTTGGAGGCAGTTTACAAACATAAATTGCACAAAGACAAACACCGGCACCGATAAACCTGGAATGTTCTGTGTGGGATTCGAGTTAAATTTGCACCACGGCGCTGTACGTAACGGCCGTCCGATTTAGATCATTTTGTTTTTCGATTAAAATTATTATTGGATGACGTTTTTAAGCTACTGGAATGGATAGATGCAGTATCAACATTAATAGCGAGTACATCTCTCCCGACAGTGTCGTCCTTTTGTCGATTTGATTATTATAGTTGAATCGCTGGAAGACCTAAGTACTATGCTCAGTGACCTCATTAGTCTCAAAACGGGTACTTCAAAAAATAAATATGGACAAGATGAAGGTCGATTTTATAATCGTTAACAGTTACCGGCATAGGTATGACATGGATGCATCCATGTCATACCTATGCCGGTAACTGTTAGGAGCACTACACTCCCAACTTCGACCGCGAGGTCTCACTCTACAGATCCCACTTAGGTGGGTAGCGATCGGGACATTACGATACATCTTGTTGTCAAGTATAGGTACTTCTTAATATTAGGTCCTTACATATTATGACATTGGCGTTTTGTACAGGAGGAATATAAAGTCAATTTTTTTTTGTAAAATATATTTAATTAATCAAAGTATGCACCGTTGGTATCTATGCACTTTTGCCATCTCATAGGTAGTTCATTGATCCCTTTACTAAAAAAAAACATGGGGGCGAGAATTAATAACCTCTTTGAAGGCGGTTTGGACTGCCTCATCGGAGTTGAATTTTTTTCCTTGTAAGAAGTTGTCCAAATTCCGAAAAAAATGGTAATCTGTAGGAGCAAGGTCCGGGGAGTACGGTGGATGTCGCAGACATTCCAGTTAAAGGTCATCTAACTTAGTGGTTGTTTGTTGTGCAGTGTGTAGTCTTGCGTTGTCGTGAAGCAGCAGTGGCCTAGAGCGATTGACCAATCTCGGTCGTTTAGCAGCTAGTTCTTCCTTCATGGTTTGCAGTTGATGACAATAGACATCTGCCGTAATCGTTTGGCCAGATTTTAGAAAGCTGTAGTGAACGACACCGGCGCTAGTCCACCGATCACTCACAAGTAACTTTTTCTGAGTCAATTTTCGTTTAGGGCAGGATTTGGCTGGGTCTCCAGTGTTCAGCCATTGCGACGAGCGCTTCCGATTATCGTACAGTATCCACTTTTCATTACAAGTAATGATTCGATTTAAAATCCCTTCATTATTGTGTCGGTTGAGCAAAGTAACACAGCAGTCGACGCGTGTTTGCAAGTTCGATTCACTCAATTCATTAGGTACCCATCGTCAAGTTTTTTTTACTTTCCCGATTTGCTTCAAATGGATTAATACAGTTTTACCACTTACCCCGAAGCCTGCAGCTAACTCTGAAGTGCCTTGTGATGGATCCGCTTCCACAATAGCACAAAATTTAATTCTTCATTTTCCACTTTGGTCTCCGGCCGTCCACGGGGTTGGTTCTGAAGGTCGAAATTTCCAGAACGAAAACGTTGAAACCAAAAACGTACCGTGCTTTCTTTTGCGACACCAGCGCCGTACACATCATTAATCCTTCGAGCTGTTTCTGCAGCACTGGTGCCACGGTAGAACTCGTACTCGTAATATACCGATATTTCATGTTTTCCATTATGCGGTAATAAGCGACGCCAAAGAAAAAATAATGAGGAAAAAACAAATGAATGACTGTTTCCAAAACTTAAATTTACCAGCTAAATGAATTTTTAAATTTGAATTTGGAATTCTTAACTAAAGAGGAGATATTTAAGATCAAAGTGGTCAGTACGACAAAACGCTAATTTCATATGTAAGCAATACTAAAACTTACACTAAAACTTAAAAACAAGAGTGTGTTATGTGCTACCAATCCATCCTGATATTTGAATCTGAGACCTCCTTCACTGCTGGCGTTAGAAGGAAGTTGCTCAGTGAGTATGGAGAGTTCAGTTTTTCTTTTTTAATAAAAAGTTTAATATTTCAGGAAGGTCGTTCAAAGTTCGAGAAACCCTCGGACTACGTGGCATATCTCAACCAGCCGGAGTTGTCGGTGGGCAAGCTTCATGGTTGCCTCGAGAACCTACGAATCGCACTCACAAACAATCCGCTCTCATGGATACAAGAGTTTGGGACCAAAGGGATTGAAAGTCTGTTAACAACACTCAACATCTGTTACACAAAGTAAGTGAATGATGGCATAAAATTATAGCTAGATAGATTAATAATAGTATGATGTGATAATATTCTCCTGGTCATCGTTATGATCACTGCCTATCAGCAGGCTCACATAGGCCTTCCCTAAGGATTTCACAAAACATGGTTCTCAGTCACTTGTATTCATCTTCCTTCTAGATGTCTTACACTTCCACCCAACAAACTTTTTTTCCAATCGGATGTCGATTACTCTGGTTCTGCTGCAGATGCAGCTGCATTATGGATTCTGTCATGCAGAGAAGCACCGAGTGTAGCTCTCTCCAATGCTCCTTAAACAACTAAGCTTCTTATACAGCCAGCTGTGTAGAACCACGTCTCCCTGGCTAATTTCTACTGTATTTTGTAGTTACGCAATATTTAAAATTATCTTAGTTAATATGTAATGCTATGCTATTTGACAATTTACAATCATTTAATCTTACATTTTCATGCTATCAGTGGTAGGGGATTTTATCGGTAAGTCATGTTGTATATACTTCTTTATTTCATTTATTTATTTTGCTATAATTGCCAGGCTTCTACTGAAGTTTTTTATTGATTTGTTATCAAGGCGATGCTGCTGTCCATCACCTCTTTTAGTTTACCTCTGTCGCATTTTACGACGTTCGCGGAATGTATTTACTAATTATTAAAGTAGTAGTGAAATTGTACATAAGCGTTACAATAAAGTTATGTATGTGTTGGAGTCAACGGCGAGTGCACTGATGCACTGTTTAGAAATAGGTAAACACAACCAGGATTTATGAGTATTAAAGGAGGCTGCGGAAGAGAATCCGTCACTCATATCTTTACCAGTTCGTCATAAAAACATGATGATATAAAATATCCAAAGCGGTGACGGTGGACTATATTACGCGCGACACATCGATTTATTATTTGATTACCGATTGCAAACTCGTCTGCCAAGTCTAGGCCAATACTATGGTGGTGGCCCAATAAAATAAACTGTTTGCGAATCTCGTTAGGTGAAAAATGGATTATAAAAAGGTCTCTTATAAGTATTGCATTGCAGTGATTCGCGGTACGACCGAGTACAGTACGAGTGCATCCGCTGCTTGTCAGCCATCCTCAACAATACGGTGGGCATTCGTACTGTGTTCGAATGTCGCGAGGCTCTGCCCGTACTCGCTCGCAGTCTCGACGCGCGCAAGCCGCACTGTGCACTGGAAGCCGCCAAGGTAAAACCGAACTTCAATCGCTTTGAACATTTAAGAAACTAGTAATAATCATCCAACATACACTAAATACCCATTACATCAATTTTAATAATTCAAGATATCAGAACAAACAATTAAATTTGGCCAAATGCGAGTTATGACATGCACAAAATAAGGTTCCGCTGTGCATGTTATATCTAATATTTTTTGATGCGTAGGCTCTACGGCTCTACAGTTTTCGTTATCATTTGAACTATAATAGAAAATATTCAGTAGAAAAGAGCTTGTTTTGATTTAGTTGCTTATTTATACTTATTTAAACATTGACTACACCTCACAGCTACCTTTAAATATTGCTTTTTAGGGTTCCGTACCTCGAAAGGAAAAACGGAACCCTTATAGGATCACTTTGTTGTCCGTCTGTCTGTCAAGACCCTTTTTCTCAGGAACGTGTGGAGGTATCAAGCTGAAATTCATATAAACTACTCAAGTCTACTGTCCCTTGTAGCTGTGAAAAAGTCAAACTTCTAAGCCAACGCAATCAAAAAATACAGCCGTTTATGCCGCAAATTTTCGACATTCGCAATGGAATCAAAACCTACAGGGTAAGTAGCCTGTAGGTCCCGTGAACGCAGAATCTTAAAATTTGGTACGAAGCAACGTATTATAGCACAGAAAAAGGAAAAATTGCGAAAAGCATAAATTTTTAGTTACATCATATAATAAAAATATTATTAATAATTTTAAACTTATATACCTACGGATTTGTTCGGAACCCTCGGTGCGCGAGTCCGACTCTCACCTAGCCGATATTTTTTTAGCAAGTCAAGAAAAAGCACTCCTGAACTGCTTTATCCGTGTGCGATGCCGTAATGGTTAATGATACGCAAATACAATGATCAACAAAAGTATACATTTTTACTCCATCTATAAAAAAAAGTCCGTGATGCCGTATGCCTATTTCTTTTACATAAGCCACAATAAGGTATTATGTGACAAAAAAAAATATTGAAAATTAAAAAGTGATTTATGAGCGTTATTATTAGGCATGGCATATTAATCTTTACGAACGAAAATTACTTCATCATCAAGACTTTGCTCCTTATAGCATATTATTTGGACGCGTAATTTAAGAGATAATGAAAAATTAAAATAATTCAACACTCGGCTCGGCGTACAAACGACGCATAAGCCTAGCCGACCTATGAAAACCGAGACAAACCAGCAGTGAACAGATGTGTCATAACTTAAAGGCCGTTACATACATCACGTACTCGGCAGTGAAGGAAAACATCGTGAGGAAATCTTACAACTTATCTTTAAGACAACACTTATTGGGGCAGCGTGGTGGACACTTCCTTGCCTTAAAACCCTCTCAGAAGTGAGAGGACGCCTGTGCCCAGCCGTGGGCTATATCTTTAACTTTAAGCGAGGTGTCATATCTCTCGGCTCAGACGCGTGACTTACGCGGGTGAATCCGCGGGGCATAGCTAGTACCATATGAAGGACATAAATGCATTTTCTTTTAATTCGTTTAAAAACTAAAATCCTTAAAAATTATAATCCAATGTTTATATTTCAGGTGTTGGCAGCCATCTGTTTGATACCCAATGGTCACGAGAAAGTCTTGGAGGCGATCACAATGGCGGGCGAGTCGAGTAGACGGCCACGTCTACTATCCATCATCGAATGCTTGGATAGCAAATCGCCCGAGAGCTTAAAGGTGAAATTATAATTATACCATTACATTATGTTCACATATGCAACTAAATTAAAACTAATGCTTTGTCGTCGAAATTTTAATTAAAAAAGAAAATTATTTTCTTCGCTATTGTAAATTAATGATCTTATTCATAAAGAAAAAGATAATTTAATATTATTTTTTTTTATTTCGGTCATTTAAAAGTGGCATTGTTAATTATGTTGGATTTTAGTTCAGAACGTCATAAAAGCTGAAAGCTGTACTTTATACTGCTGAATATATTTGCATCTATCATCTACAGACAAATCCTGGGGGGTCATGCCAGTAGCATACTGAACTGAGAGTGATTGAAACTGAAATAAAAGAAGAAATGTCCTACATAATCGGGAAGAGTTGGAGAAACTTGTTTGTGCTCACGTGTTTTCCCAAATATATCCTGGGGTGATTTGGAAAAATACTTGATTATGATACTCTTGGACTCTAGGTTGTATATTCAATACAGGATACATGAAAAATGTTTTGCAAACACAAGGCACTAATTATATTTTTTTCTCAAATTTCTTCACGTTTCTGGCATAAAAATAGTTAATAGTAATGATAAATATTTTCAGAAAAAAATCTCAATCAATCACACAATCAATTAACTAATGAAATCTTTTACGTCCTCATCATACGATATGTATTAAGGGACCCCTTATATTTTTTACTGTTTGGCTTAAACTAAAACTTCATATTTCAGAATGGTTGCATGCAACTAATGAATGCAATAATCACAGAGCCTGAAGAGTTGGAGTTCCGGATGCACTTGCGGAGCGAGTTCATGAGAACTGGACTCTATGATTTGATCGGTAAGGCTTAATTTTTTGTGACTTCCGTATGAATTTATTATTTGTTAAACATATATATGAAATTTCGTTAGAAATGTTTCAAACAAATCAGTTTGAATTTCGTTGGAAACTCGAACCTGTGTTTGTTTTTGAAAATATATATTTTTTTAATATAGCTATACTATATATTATGATCCTTGCAAGAATTGTTATTTCTAATGTTGCCAATCAATTGCTCTATCCAATGAAATTTCAAGTTGGAATCTTAAAATGCTATCTATAAAGTTAATTTTTATTGGCAGATGAGCTCAGAGCTGGTGCTGAAGGGGCCAGACAGATCCAAATGAATGTATTCGACAATCATGCCTCTGCTGATCAGGATGAATTCCTTGCCAAGTTTGATGACGTCAGGTACGTTAAATAACTTGACTAATATTCTTGTTAAACACAACACACGCAGGTGAGCTTAAAATGTTTGTGTTTGGAGTGGTTCACGACAGGTAGTCAAATTGTAAATTTAAACTGACGATTTATTGAGTTCCCTCTATTGTTCCTTCAGTTTAGGATTGCTTCAAATTTTTAATTGTAAAGTATTACAATATTTTCATTATAAATAAATGAAAATAACTAGTTACCAAAAAAAATTATAACATAATATTTTTATTTTACACTTTTTTAATTTAACATAAATGGTGGTTGCTAATTTATATTCCTATTTTTTTAATGTGGCAACACATCGGTAACAAGATTGAAATGTTTGGTCCAATTAGATTTTGCCACATTTATCTGGCGCTAATACTTGGTGGCGCATCAGTCTCTGAGCGTTATTTGCGACTGATAACACGTTCAACCAAACTGGAAAATCAAATTTTATACTGACAATTCATCTAATAATATATTGTAATAAGTTACCATAGCTAGAAGAAAAAATAAATTATTAAAGCCGTTAGTAATTGCCGTGAGGGAGCGCCGATATAGAATACACCATCCCATGCGTATCATGAGTGTCCTAAGAGACATTTCAGAAAAATCTTATGGCTTCTCAGACACATGGCGGTATAATAATATCTTATACGCAAGACATAATTATAACTTTTAACAATAAGTGAAAACTAACTTCAAATTTCTAAAAAAGAAGTTATTTATTTGCTACCCTTAGGATTAGTATTAGAGGTGAAATTTTTCTTTAAATTTATAATGCACCACCCTTCAAGTATAACTATTTAATAAAAAATAATCATCAAAATTGGTTCACAATCTGCAAAGATGTCGCGTAAACATACATACAAAAAAAGCAATACACTTGAATTGAGTACCTGCTCCTTTTTGAAGTCGGTTAAAATACTTAGACTGACAACGAACTGCGGAGCAAAGGTGCGCGAGAATTGTGGTACTGCGATTTTCAATCCGCCTACAAAGTGTGACGATTAATTTTTATCCCTACAACGGGAGAACCCCATGCCCTTCAAAATTTATACGGAGGATGTGTGTAGTCTCAAGTAATATCCCAACTGTGTCCTTTTTCACTGTCCTAAACAAATAATTGCTTCAAAAATATTTAATATTTTTCAGAGTGGATTTTAATGACCCTAATGAATGCTTTGAACTTGTGAAGAACTTAGTAATGGACAGCCCCGCTGAGCCGTATTTACTGTCAATTTTACAACACTTGTTATTTATACGAGATGATGAGTTAATAAGGTGAGTTTGTCAAAAATACATTTTGATTTTACTTGAGCCCAATGGTAGGGATATATTTTTTGTTATAAAAAGAAAATATTAACCTTTTTATGAGGAACAACGTGAACACCCACCAGTGTTCGATCAAAATCCTACCTTATTATTTAATTATCAGAATTAGGTATGTAGAAGACGCACATTTAGCTTATTTAGTACATGTATTTCCTATTTAATAAAGCTACTGGATTTCTATAAGTTAGTAACTTAACTTGAAATTTATAAAGTTGTTATATTATGTTTATTAGTTAGTTATTATTCATACATTTTTCATAATCTTTCAGGCCAGCTTATTACAAACTTATAGAAGAATGTGTAACCCAAATAGTACTGCATAAAAACGGATATGATCCGGATTTTCGAGCGACACAGCGATTTAATATCGATGTACAGCCTCTTATCGATGGACTTATAGGTTAGTAAATCTTAGCTTCATTATTTCACGTGGCTTTCATGTTGTAAAAAAATTATACTTTTGGTTTTATCTGTGCAGCGTAAAATATATTCATTATTTTGTACTTATAATGTCAGTATACTCTTGTAAAATAAATTTTACTTACGGTTTCATGAAAATGATGCAACTTTAAAAAGTAACTAGTAGTATAATGTTTTTTTTGAAAATAGTAACTTATAAAATGAAAGATCACTTGATGGCCAACAGTCAAAGAGCACCGTCGAAACTAAATTAACTCTTAAAAGACAATGAGAAGTCTTTGTGCGTGTGTGTGTGTTGTTTTTTTATATAAATTTAAATTAAACGTGAATGACTTTATCAAAATTTTAATAAACTTTTACTTATTTACTTAAATTGCAGCACTATAAAAATTCCGTTTCAATATTTGTGCAATTTTACGTTACATTCATTTTGTAATATTTCACAAGCGCATTTTCAGGCGGATTATTATGCATATGCAATGATGTTTTGTAACCAGCAGTAGAACTTTTTTGTCAATAAAGTAAAAGTTAATAACTTTATTTTCAGAAAAATCAAGAGCAGAGGAAGAGCGGAAGATCGACGAATTAAAATCAAAACTAGAAGCGGCGATTGCTGCAAGACAAGAGGCCGAGGCGAGGGCGGCGCACTTGGAGGACCGGCTGAAGCAGGCCTCCGCGCCCACCGGGCCCGGCGGCGTCTCGCAAGGAAATATCGCTGCTATTGCCAAGGTACGAACGAACTTATTACAGTATATTTGCTTTGGCGGAAGTACTTTTTTTATTTGGCTAAACTTGAGATACAGCCATGCATTATATTATACAAGCTTATTTTGCAATAACCGGCTAAATTTGCAGAGAAGGTTCAGAATAAGTAATATAATATAATATATATTGAAGTTATATTTGTTTTGCAAAAGAGAGCCGTACGGGCGATTTATAACCTAAATTGTAAAGAGTCCCTCAGAGAAAAATTTAAAGAAATAAACATATTAACTTTGGCATCGCAATATATTTATGAGAATGTAATGTATGTGCATAAAAACATAAATAGCTTTAATAAGAATAAGGATGTGCATATTTTAAATACTAGGTACAAACATAAGCTTGTAATGCCAGTTACTAGACTCCACAGAATCAGTAATTCATTTATGGGGCAATGTATACGCTTTTACAACAAAATCCCAGAACATTCAAAGTTTGTCAATAAATAAGTTTAAAAGTTTTATTAAAGAAAAACTGTACAAAAAGGGTTATTATAATATCAAGGAATACATGAATGAAAATAACCCCTGGAAATAGGGTGATCGACACCATGCTGGTTCTATGAAAAATCATTTAAAAATTGTATAAACAAAATTATTGTTAAGTGAAATTATATTTTAAAAAAAAAAGTCCCGCTGGGTTTCTTGCTGGTTCTTCCCAGGACTTAGGTATTTTCCGAACCAGTGGTAAATAAAAAATGACTTTCAATAAGTATTATGTGTGCACGACGCAACAATATTAAACAAACGAAAGAAAATGCTTATTGTAACCGGCGCTAGTTGAACAACCTAGGAGCGGTGGGCGGAGCCAGGACGACGGTGTAATTATCAGGCCACGCCTCTGGTTCGACAACTAGCAAGGGTTATACGGCGGAACTAGCGCAACCTTATGTTGAATTTAAATTATAATTTGTGTAAATAATTGTATTACTTGTATCGAACGATAAAAAATAATGATTGTATTATAACTAAGTTTAAGGTTGAGTTGTAACTGTGCAATAACTCTCCCAAATAAAGGCACCGTATGAACAGGGAGAGTTAGCATAGTCTTCTAATGAAAACTGTAATTGTTAAATATAATAAATGTTTACTTTATTATATAATAAATATATTAGGCCGTTAGGCACATAAAATAATAGTAGTAGTGTAACCAAAGAGCATGTTATCGTGACGCGGCCGCGGAGCAAATGAAGCCACGCGCACCGCGCCACGACGTTTTATATTTATAGTGCTGAGGCGGGGGGAAGGATTCTCCGCCTAAAGCAGCTGAAAATTATAATGTAAACCTGTAAATAAGTAAAAATATTGATATGTACACCCTAGTCTAACAAGTAGTTATAAGAATATTATATAGTGAATTATGTTTATTAGTTTGTAAGGTTATTAAATAAATAAAGATAGGCGCGGGGGTGAGGCAAGGGTCCGCTGGCCAGCAGCGGCCAAATCATATAAAAGACGGGCCGGCCGCTAGGGTCAGCAGTCGCTCTCCAGCCACCGAAAAGGCACCAGCAAGAAAAGAAAAAGTACAAGTTCCTCCTCACCGCCGCTTGCCTCCAGTTAAAAGCAAGACCAGCGCGTTTTATTCCATTTTTCGCACGGCATTACGGCGATCCGTAATATTAATGGTCCTTCGAGAAGCCGGATTACTAGAAGAAAAAGACAATATCGGTCTTGGTATTGCCGGAAGAAAGAAGCAAACCGCAAGAACGAAAAAATATTATTGTGAAGAAAAATGGTGATTACGCGTAGTAACAACGGAGAATCATCGAAGCGTCGCAAGGATGAACAAACAACCCAGGGGGCCACAGAAGAGGCCTCCGGGGGCGACTCAGCCGCTAGTGGTTCAACAAACACCACTAGCGAAACCACAACGGTCAGCGATACGACCGCTACCTCGGCAACCGATAGAACAACCGCAACGGAAGAAACCCAGCAAGAGGGTGATCAAAGATCGCAGTGCACATTGAAGCCCGGCGAGACTAGGTCACGCCGCTCCGTAGCCTCACGCAAGAGACTCCTCGCGGAGTTAGAGGTGAAAGAGCGGTTAGCCGAACTCAAGCTCGAGCAGGCTCAGTTGCAAGCAAGAACAGAATTGCAAGAAATACACGTGCAGCGACTACAAGCAGAAGCCGGATCAACCGATGAAGATGAAGAAATAGAAGACGATTTGGCATCAGTGCGCATTAGTACATGGTTGCAAGAAAAACCTACATCGCAACCCGCGCCTCAGCCCGCGCCACAACCCGCGCCGCAGCCTGCGCCGCAACCCACGTCGTACTTCGCGCCGCAACCAGCACTGCAGATCGCACCACCCGTACTTCAACAGTGTGCGCCGCAATACGCTCCGCAACATACCGCGCCGCAGAAAGAAGACTATGGACAGGCGCAGCAGCAAATCGACGTCGCTACCTTAGCCGCTGCTCTATCACAAGCAGTACGAAGCACAAGGGAGCCGCCGAAATATATACAAGAGCTGCCCTCATTCAATGGTAGCAGCAAGGAGTGGCTCAGCTTCAAGACAATGTACGAAGAATCTTCAAAGTACTTCACGGCGAACGAAAACATAGCGAGAATACGCCGAAGCTTAAAAGGGACAGCAAAAGAAGCCGCAGGTTGCCTACTTATAAGCCAACCAGATCCCAGAATTATAATAGAAGCTTTGGAAAGGAGATTCGGACGACCAGAAGCGTTAATTCACTTGGAAATAGAGAAGCTGAAGCTGCTGAACAAAGTTACGGACAATCCCAGGGAGCTATGCATATTCGCAAATCGCATAGCGAACGTAGTGGGCACCGTGGAAGCACTCAAGAAAGCACACTATCTGCATAGTCCAGAAATGACGCGAGTTATCACAGACAAACTCACGCCCATATTGAAAAGCAAATGGTACGACTATGCAGCCAGAAAGAAAGAAGATATCCCAGAGCTTAAGAAGATATCAATGTTCTTAAACGAAGAAGCAGATAAATGCAGCGCGTATGCCTTGCCGGAGTTCATCGCAGAGGACAGCGAAACGAGAGAGCGAAGACCGAGAAAAATAGAACGTGCCTTCGCCACAAGCAAGAAACCATATGAAGAACGCTGCCCTCAATGCAAACAAGAACACAAACTGCCCGATTGCAAGTCATACGCCGCTCTGTCCACAAATGACAGATGGGAAGTAGCAAAGAAGGACAATATCTGCTACCGCTGTCTGCGAGGCAAACATCGTCGATTACTGTGCAAAGCTCCACCGTGCGGAAAAGGCGGATGCATGATGAAACACCATAAATTGTTGCATCACGACAGAACAGCAGTAATGGAAAAAGAACCCGCTATGGAAACCGCAACATCGGCAAAGGAGGTCAACACAGCGACTCGACCGTACAAGCACCGCCGCGCTTACCTAAAGATTGCGCCCGTAACAATAAGGGGGCCGCTAAGCTGCGTCGAAACATACGCATTATTGGATGAAGGAAGCACGGTCACCTTAGTCGATGCCTCAATCGCCGACGTCATCGGCGCCGACGGCCCAGCCCACACAATGTGGATACAAGGGGTCGGCTCGGAGGTGAAACACGAGAAGAGCAAGATCGTCAGCTTTAAAATAAGAGGAACGTACGCGCAAGAAGAACACAACATAGAAGCAGCGCGTACTGTAGAGCGGTTGGACTTCGCGCCAGAATCCGTGAATGAAGATCACTTGGGGAATTGCCCACATCTGTTGGATATCAAAGAGGATATCACCTACGAACGCGCCTCACCGAAAGTACTAATCGGGCAAGATAACTGGCACCTCATAGTGTCTAGAAAACTGCGCGTCGGCCGTCGAGACCAACCAGTCGCCTCATACACCAACCTGGGCTGGGTTCTGCATGGCTGTCATAGCTCATTGACGTCGACGGTCACCTTCTGCGGCAGACTACATCAGAGGGAAGATGCACCACCGATAGAAGAAGAAATAAAAAATTATTTCAAATTGGAGTCGCTGTGCATCGAGCCGAGAAGACCGAAAGAAGATCCCGAGCAGCGAGCCATGCAAATATTGGACGAAACCAGCCAGAGGTCAGCGGACGGCAGATTCGAGACAGGGTTGTTGTGGAAACAAAAGGACTTCCAAATACCAAATAATTATAAAGAAGCGGAAAGGCGCCTGCACACCTTAGAGAAGAGGCTCGACCGAGACAGCAATCTCAAGCTACAGTACGAAGAACGCATCGAGAACCTCTTCAACTCGGGTTACGCAGAGCGCGCGCCAATGCCACCGCCGCAAGGAAGGACATGGTATCTGCCACACTTCCCAGTCATCAACCCTGCGAAACCGAACAAGCCGCCGAGATTGGTACACGACGCCGCAGCGAAGACAGCCGGAATATGTCTCAACGATATGCTTCACTCGGGGCCCGACTTATTACAATCACTGCCCGGAGTGATCATGAGGTTCCGACAGTATCCGTATGCAGTGAGCGCCGATATAAAAGAAATGTTCATGCAGATTAAAGTGCGCAAAGAAGATAGAGACGTTTTACGTTTCTTGTGGAGAGGCAAGCGGCGGGAGGACCAACCGGAGGAATATAGGATGACGTCAATCATCTTTGGAGCGACATCATCACCATGCACAGCATTATACATCAAAAATAAAAATGCTGAAGAACATGCACACGTACACGAGAGGCTGCATCACGGAGGCGTGGAAACAGTTGTGAATGAATTAAGACAGAGATTGTACGTAAGAAAAATACGTCCAGTAGTGAAAACTGTCGTCAAAGGATGCCTGCCGTGCCGTCTAAGAAAAGCCAAGCCTGCATCACCGTCTACAGGAAACCTGCCGTCCGCACGCCTCGCTCATCACGCACGTCCGTTCACATACACCGGACTAGACTACTTCGGGCCAATAGAAGTCACAGTGGGACGACATCGCGAAAAGCGCTATGGCGCGTTATTTACCTGCATGACGTCGCGAGCAATACACATAGAAGTAGCCCACTCGTTGAGCGCAGACTCAGCCGTGTCGGCACTTAGGCGTTTTATGAGCAGAAGAGGATGCCCAAAAGAAATATGGAGTGACAACGCTACGTGCTTCAAGGCAGCAGACAAGGAGATGGCCGAAACAGCACTCGCAGCCCTCGAGCACGAAACCACGTGTCAACAGATTGTGTGGAAGTACATACCGCCATCAGCACCGTTCATGGGCGGCGTATGGGAGCGAATGGTTCGCTCCGTAAAAGAAGCCCTACGCGTCACCCTCAACGAGCGCTATCCCAGCGACGAAACATTGGGGACCCTGCTCGCCGAGGTCGAAAATACTGTAAACTCCAGACCTCTCACACACGTCTCAGTCGACCCAGGAGACCCTGAAGCCATCACGCCGAATCACATCCTCATCGGTCCCAACTCGCACGTACCTGCGCCGGGACACTTCAGCAAGAATGACGTGACGGCCCGCCAGCAATGGAAACGAGCTCAAGCCCTAGCCGACGTGTTTTGGAGAAGATGGGTTAAAGAATACCTGCCCCTACTCCAACACCGGCGGGAGCCCAGCAGCATAGGAGTATCGCCGAAGATTGGAGACCTAGTCATCATTTGTGACTCCAATCTACCACGCAACACCTGGCCCAGAGGGAAAATAAGTAAGGTATATCCTGGCGTCGACGGAGAGGTACGAGTAGTGGACGTAACCACCGGCAGTGGGCACATACTAAGAAGACCAACGAAGAAGATCGTCGTGCTACCAGAGGGATCGCAGCGTGGCGACGGCGGGAGAATGTGCACGACGCAACAATATTAAACAAACGAAAGAAAATGCTTATTGTAACCGGCGCTAGTTGAACAACCTAGGAGCGGTGGGCGGAGCCAGGACGACGGTGTAATTATCAGGCCACGCCTCTGGTTCGACAACTAGCAAGGGTTATACGGCGGAACTAGCGCAACCTTATGTTGAATTTAAATTATAATTTGTGTAAATAATTGTATTACTTGTATCGAACGATAAAAAATAATGATTGTATTATAACTAAGTTTAAGGTTGAGTTGTAACTGTGCAATAACTCTCCCAAATAAAGGCACCGTATGAACAGGGAGAGTTAGCATAGTCTTCTAATGAAAACTGTAATTGTTAAATATAATAAATGTTTACTTTATTATATAATAAATATATTAGGCCGTTAGGCACATAAAATAATAGTAGTAGTGTAACCAAAGAGCATGTTATCGTGACGCGGCCGCGGAGCAAATGAAGCCACGCGCACCGCGCCACGACGTTTTATATTTATAGTGCTGAGGCGGGGGGAAGGATTCTCCGCCTAAAGCAGCTGAAAATTATAATGTAAACCTGTAAATAAGTAAAAATATTGATATGTACACCCTAGTCTAACAAGTAGTTATAAGAATATTATATAGTGAATTATGTTTATTAGTTTGTAAGGTTATTAAATAAATAAAGATAGGCGCGGGGGTGAGGCAAGGGTCCGCTGGCCAGCAGCGGCCAAATCATATAAAAGACGGGCCGGCCGCTAGGGTCAGCAGTCGCTCTCCAGCCACCGAAAAGGCACCAGCAAGAAAAGAAAAAGTACAAGTTCCTCCTCACCGCCGCTTGCCTCCAGTTAAAAGCAAGACCAGCGCGTTTTATTCCATTTTTCGCACGGCATTACGGCGATCCGTAATATTATGTAATAATCAATATTGAATAAAAAATTATTCTATTCTATTCTATAGGCAAATGGTGAAGAAAAATTAATTAAAAAAGTCTCAAACATTCTGTTCTTTTTAGCTTTTAAATTCAATGCGTGATAATGCACTATTTTAACTGATTTTACTGCGCACGCACATACTCGTAAGCGTCGATCGGTAGGCAAAATGTTGCTACCAATAAATTACATTCAATTTGGCATAATTTCGAATAAAAGTAGAAGCCTTATTTACTCGTATTCTCAAAAAATGCAATAACGGTATATCGTTATGTATATATTTGAACTGAAATTTAAAATTTGGCTACTCTTTGAAAAATAACCCTGTATGTGTCAGCAAATTAGTCTTATAATCTACTTAAAGTAATATTTCCAATAACCATGATATTCACTTCATCAGTCTGCAATAGTTCTCTGCTGGACATGGGTATCATAGTAAAATTACAATCGAATCCCATATGTATTTTAAATGAGCTTGTCTATATTAGTTCATCTCGTGAACAGTAATTATAAAGGGTTTTAATGAGGAAGTAATTTAAAAAAAATCTTGAAACCTTATATGTCGGAAATGGAATAAGTTAAAAATTGTAATGGTATCTCTGTAATCATGGGTGATTCATGTTCATTCAATAATCATAAATTTAGATTTTTTTTTTAATATTAGAGACCTTTGACCATAAGTAACACTGCTTTTAATGGTAATATAATATAGTGGTGTAAACGAAATAGTTTTTTTTTTAACAGGCAATTGGCAGTCCCGGAGGGCCTCCTCCACCGCCGCCGCCGCCAATGCCTGGAGGTAATTTAAATTTTTTTATTACTTCTGATATCAAAAGTGTAATTTAACCAAATCTAATCTCCTTATAATTTATTATTATATCTTTAGTATATTCTCTATTTTGACGTTGCTTTTTAAGTCATTTTGGGTTTAGCATTAAATTATAGTGACTTAGTTACTTGAACTAAAGAGTTCCACTCGTTATTTGCGTATACGATCCGTTGTATGTAATACGAAGTGCTTTTAAAAACTATTATTATTGTATTATCCTAAGTTTAAATATTTAAGCCCCATCATATTAGCCTAGCATCTTAAGTGGGTTGCACTGAAAATTACTGTTGCGTATACCTGCAGTCTAAGATGAAGTGTTTGCTGTGAATAAGTAGTTACATATAAAAACATGCACTTTGTACTTAATACAACGGATATAACGGAACAAACCCAGAATAAGTAAGAATGAAAAAATCTTTTCGTTTTGCCACAAATACCAGTCACTCACGTATGTGCAAAGATATACATAACACATGTACGCAAAAACGTTGCTTATGAAATGACGACCCCCGTCACACATATGTACATTTGCACTACATTTGCAAACCTCTATGCACATACCCCGAGACATGTGTATATTATGTCAGTCTAGCTTGTGGTTTCGTGTACGATGGATGTCGAAAATTTATAAAAACTCTTGAGTATTAAATACACATATATATTTGCTTGAAAATACGTACACCACAGTTTAAAATTAAATTAAAGCGCTTATCACTCGAGATAGCAACTGAGAACCACCTAAATGTGGGAGAGAGACAACAACGTTCTTGCGCTTTAATCTGCGTTGAAAAGTCGATACAGCTCGGCATATTCGCAAAAGTGTGCATTCGTCATATGCTAATACTTTCGTCCATTTGTTGATTAGTATATTTGTGCTTAAATCTGTGGCCGGTATAAAATAAAGTTAATTATATAATATAAAGCCTTTTTTTTATGGTGGTGGTGAGTCTTTCCTTAAAAAACGTAATAATTCTATAATAGGAGTGTAACTAAAAAAAAAACAAATTTTTCATCGTAATGTATGAGAGGTGAATAAAATAATAAACCCTATTTATGGTTATGGAAATTTAAAAATTATTTTATGACTAAAATTATTAAAAACTACAATAATTTAGTAATCTCACTTATAAGTTTTTATTTAACGAGTTCTTAAATATAAATAAAAATTACGCTTAATACACTGCACGGAATAATGAATTTATAACTCACAAGTTTACAAATATATTATCTCGCTCGCACTTATGCATGTCTGCAATATATTTGTCTCCGTCTGATTTTATAGGAGGTGGGCCGCCTCCTCCCCCGCCACCGCCGATGCCATCAGGTGGGTTACATTTATTTTCATAATTATACATTTACCATTTTTTATCTATATTTGCATGACTTCATTGTTGGATGTTGCATGATAATTTGATAAGGCATGTAAATCAAATGCGTATCTATAAAGTATTTGATTACACATTTTATACTTATGTTATTGTAGAACATTTGATAGGGTTTGTTTGCTTGGATTGTGTACCAAGAATTCATATACTGCGTGCACAAATTACTGACTAGTGATTATCGAACGAACAATAAACTAGTCGAGAACAAATCAATCGGTGTCATTGCACACGAGGTTTACTGTGAAAGTTGAAGATTATATTACATTCTTGGCGTGTAGTGGCGGCGTAAAAGCATCCACTACTACATAATACTTGCGCACCGCACTGATGCAGCAAGTGCCGTTCACTCGTGCGCTGCGTGTGATCAAAACCATGTCACACTGATTTATTTTCATGTTCGCTGAGTGAGCTCAGTAAAATCGCATATCATACTGTATCGTTGGCTACACTGTCTAATTAGGGTGCTCACCCTGTAATGATTGTGTATGTTGTATGTATGTGTAAAAATAAAAATAAAATCATCCTGTGGGTGTCGTAAGAGGTGACAAGGGGAAATGAAACTGGAAATGTGCAGCAGCATCTTCTAAAACAACCCAAAATAATAAAAACACTGCAGTTGTCAATCCGACTGCCAAGCGTGGCAACCTATTATGATAGGCTGTTGTAACCTTCTAAAAGAAGCCGAAGCTAAGCCGAATTGGGAAACTTATCGTGTATTCAGTGTTGCATTTTCTAAATACAATCGTTGAATGGTTTCAGTTAAATTAGCTCTTCGTAGAATTAAATTACAGAAACATTTTTGGGACTGAATTTTAAGCGGCATCGACATCAGGTCAAGCTTAGTGTTTCTAGTGTACTATTTAATTTTATAAATTTTTAATTCTATAAAATTTAAGCTAGCTTGAGAAAGCTTACGGTCAACATCCAACGGTTAGCGTTACTGAAACGTGGGTATTAATATGGTAACGTGGTAAATATTCAAACGTTACTCAATTTTAAGGTGTCGTTAAATTTCGTGGTGAAATAGTCACTTTGACTTAAAGTGATAGAGACAGCACGATACTTAATGGTATCTTAAAATTGAGTAGCGTTTGAGTATTTCGCCTTGAATGTCTAATTACTCGACCAAATACTTAAAGCATTATAAAATTGTATGCATTAGTGACATAATTATAGCCCTTAACACAATAAACTCATACCACAATCTTACTATGGATTAACCCTAAAGATCTTAAACTCTTCCTCTCGTTCTTATGTTTTACTGCACGCCTTATAACGCGAAGTGTTATTAGATAGTGCTTTACTCTCGACACGTCAAGGTCAAGTAATTTTGTGTTCTTAATATGTCCCTATAACTATATTGTACTTATACGATAATTTGAGTAGCCGTATATTAAGAGAACGCTCCAATTAATCCATTTTATATTTTCTAAAAAATCATTTTATATTGCTACTTTGAAAAAAAAAAGGTTTGAAAAAAGTTTTACGTGGACGTCCAGATGTTGATGTTGCCACGATAACTCCCGAAAAAATTGATGTATCGAGACCGGGTCTTTTTATTAGCTTAGTACGCGTAGTTTAGTAATAAAATGATTTTGAATTTTTTTAAGGTTTATTGCTATTAGAAATTTAAACGTGCTTCCATATTTATTTAGCCCTTTATAGACAAAGGACAAGTGTACCATACAGCCTAGATCGATTTCATACTTTGTATAATCTATTTATTTTGGTAATTTTTTTTTTTCTGTAGGTCTAAATTTAAAACACTTAAACGATATATTTTAAAAGTCAGGAATACAATTCTTTTTTTCATCAAGGTTAAATGAAACGCTCATGAGGCGTGCATTTTTGGATTTTCCAAACTATTTTGTATTTTAGTTAAATTTTTAATCTTTTTTTTAAAACAAACATATTCATTAAAGCAAAATGTCCTTATTTCTAAAATATAAAACATAAACATAAACACTCACGCCTGTCACCCAGAGGGGTAGGCAGAGATTATGGACTTCCATTTGGCACGATCCTGACACACCTCTCTCGCTTCCTCCACATCCATATACCTACGTTAAAGGTACTCTTGATTTGGCCCATTTTTAATATATCGCTAATTTGGTCGATAAACTTTCGCCTAGGGCGACCCTTCCCGACTATGCCGTTCACCTCTGCAACATAAATTTGCTTTGTCACTCTTTCCTCATTCATTCTTTCTACATGGCCAAACCACCGAAGCATTCCTTTCTTAATCCTGGTCACAACATCATCTTGCAAACCACACTCTTCTCTTATTAAACGATTTCTCACTCTGTCATTCAGATTCATCCCTAACATATTCCTTAATGACCTCATTTCTACAGCATTTATTCTACTCTCGTGCTTCTTCTGCCACACCCAACTTTCACTACCATACATTAAAGTAGGCACTAACACAGCATTGTGAATTGCCATACGTGCCTTTTTGGACACATTCTGACTTGTCACAATAGAGTGTAGAGCCCCATTCACTCTATTTCCTGCATTCACTCGTCGTCACTATATCCTTATCATATCTACCATCCCTGCTAAACACACTTCCCAAATATACAAACTCATCTACTTGCTCTACCAACTCCCCTTATATTCTTATTTCACATATCGTTTTACTTTCTTCTCTTTCAAAAACCATAACTTTCGTCTTACTTGCGTTCACTTTCATTCCCTTTTCTTTTAATGTCCTGTTCATTAATGTAACCATAATTTGCAACTCGGCTGCCGACGATGCAAGTATGACTTGATCATCGGCGTACAAAAGGCATTTGACGGTTAACTCATCCATTCTTAACCCGCCATCACCTTTATGGATGCCAAACCAGTCCGAGTAGGCCCCGTTGATCCTGACACAAGCACTAGAGTCCCTATATAGAGACTTCAATGCCTGTATCAGACCAGCGGTCAACCCAAATGAGTTCAGTGTTTGCCATAACACATCCCTGTCCACTCTGTCATAAGCCTTCTCCAAGTCCATGAACGCACAAAAATCTTTTTGGTTTTTGGCCAAAAACTTCTCCGCGATCATGCGCATGGAAAAGACCTGATCCGTACATCCCATTCCCTTTCTAAATCCCGCTTGCACATCCCAAATTTTTCCATCAGTTTCTTTCATAACTCTTTCAATTAGTACCTTAGCATACAGTTTTCCCACAATGCTAAGAAAGCTGATACCACGGTAGTTTTTACAGTCCTGCTGTGATCCTTTTCCCTTATATATTGGGACTATCACGGCTTTGCACCAGTCTCCCGGTACCCGTTTAAGTTCCCAACATAAATTAAGCAAGGTGTACAGCAGGTCTGCCACCACTCCTTCTCCAGCCCTTAGCATTTCGAGAGATACTCTATCATAATCGGCTGCCTTACCTGCTTTCATACTTTTCATTGCTTTCATTATTTCATCTATACTTATATCTCTATCTATTTCCTCTTCTTTCGGAATTTCTATTTAATTCAAACGTCTCATCACTCATAAACACGCTTTCAAAGTATTCCTTCCATCTCCTTAAACTCAAAACTTCGTCATTCAGAATACAGCCATTCTCTCTATCTATTTCCTCTTCTTTCGGAATTTCTATTTAATTCAAACGTCTCATCACTCATAAACACGCTTTCAAAGTATTCCTTCCATCTCCTTAAACTCAAAACTTCGTCATTCAGAATACAGCCATTCTGGTCTCGTATAGCATTCATTCTAGGCTGTTTTGAATGTCCCCTGGTAGTTCTTACGACTTTCCAGAACTTTTAAATGTTTGCCTGGAAGTTATCCGATATTTTTCTATCATTGTTATCCGTTCTTTCTTGCTTTTTCCTTTCAACTACTTCTTTTACTCTCTTATTTAGGTGTCTAAAAACTGCCTTTTTCCTTTCAATATCATCATTCATACTGCTAGAATTACTAGCCTTGGTTGCTAGTAAATCTAGCCATGCTTTCTTCTTTGCTTCAACTTCCATCCGTACCGCATCATCCCACCATAACGTGTTATTTTTCCTTTCATTCGTTCTCTTACTTACACCACATACTTCGGTAGCTGCATCCACTAAACCTTTCTTGACGTTATACCACACAGTCTCCAAGTCTAAATCATTCATACACAATTCAGCCATACCACTTATATTTTCTCTCAATCTACATTTGAACTTCTCTTTCACACCTTCATCTTGTAACCTCTCTGTTCTTATACGGTGTAACGCAGTGGTAGACACAGATGTCCGATGCCTCCAACGTCTGAAAAGACCATTAATTCGGCATAAGACCAAGTAATGATCCGTCCCTACGTTAGAGCCCCGGTAAACCCTTGTATCTACCACCGCGCTCCTCATTCTTTCATCAACAATTATGAAATCTATCATACTTCGATCATCACTTCTTTCCCATGTATACGTGTGAATCTTCTTATGACGAAAAAAGTGTTCGTCACAAAAAGATTCTTTTCCACGCATACGGCGAGAAGGCTTTCACCATTCTCATTTATACTTTCATCACCAAACGTTCCCAATATCCTTTCATAACCAAGCCTCCTCACTCCAACCCTTCCATTAAAATCGCCTAATATCACAATATTTTCATTAACCTTGCATTTCATTAGCACCATCCTTACCAACTCCCAAAACTGCTCTCGGATATAAGTTGGCTTAGACATGTCTGGGGCGTAGACCCCTAAAACAAACAACTTCTTTAAGCCCACTTTTATTCGTATCCATAGCAGTCTCGGGCTTACACATTCATACTCTTTCACACAGTGACCCATTCTTTCTGAAAGGATGATACCGACTCCTTGGCATGCCCGTTCGGTCTCGTCTACATCAGACCAGTACGCGGTATACATGCCATGTGTAGTGGCATCCTTTCCCTTCCGTTTCGTCTCATTTACACATAACACGTCTATTCCTCTATCATACATCATATCGCATACTTCATCCATCTTATCATTCATTCCTCCACATACATTCAATGTAGCCAGACGGGCTTCCGCAATCCACTTATTATTCTATATATATTTCTAAAATGAGGTTCAATATTGCTTGACATTAGGTTAGAATATTAATGTCGCAATTTATAATGGTCATCACGAAGCCGCAGATAAAATTTTAGTTGATTGATATATTTTTTAAAGAGTTTCAGTGGATTTGCCGTCTAGTGGTGGTGTAAGAATATTCACTACTTAGTTCCGTGAGTGTGTAAGAGGCGACAGAGGGAAATGAAATCTCTGGGTTGGGCCTATGTTCAGAAGTGGGTTTTGTTAGGCTTTAATGGTAATGGCTCAGTGGAAATGAGTTGATTTGGTGTAGGAGAATATAATTGATTGTATAATATACTGGTATGGCAGGTGCGGGCGGGCCTCCCCCTCCGCCCCCGCCGCCGCTGCCGGGGTCGGGCGCGCGCGCGCCGCCGCCGCCGCCGCTGCCAGGCGCGGGCGCGCCGCCGCCGCCAATGATGGGCGGACCCCGGCCCCCGCCGCCGCCTTTCGGCGGACCCATGCCCCCAAGAATGGTGAGCTAATTCATTCATTAGTTCGACCGTCTTGTACAAAATGATACAACCCACAAACTGTCCAAAATTAACGCCCAGAGGCTCTTTACCAGTATATTTCCAATTATCAAAGATTTTTAAGTAAATTATCAAGTAGTCAGAAAATCGACATTCAATTTTCTTTGAAATAACATACATAGTATAATATGGGTTTTGTCACTCGAAAAATGCATTTATCCTTCAAGTCTGAATAACAACTATATTTTTGTAGGTTGTATCATTTATGCACAAACGTACGTGTTTGTTTTATTTATAGATGGCCACCGCGTTGGTGTGCCCCCTCGGCCTCGTACCACAAAACTTTATTTTTGCAGCGATAAGCGACACCCGACACACAGATTGCGATATTATTACTATTGCGAGACATTTTCATAATTTATCAACTATCGTAAAATTGACTTTATAGTATGCTCATTACACATTTTATTTCGTTACAGTTAATCTTCCAATAGATTAAAAACTATATTTTTCTCATAATGAAACTGAAAAAATAAGTGTACTTTTCATATTAAAATTGAAATAAAAGTTACACCAACAATTTACGTGATTTATTATAAATTGCGACAAATGAGTTAAGTGATATTAAAAAAAAAAGTGTAATAGCAAACTTCACTGTGCCATTTCAAGTATACATACAGATTAAGGTCAGTTTCGCACAGAGTTGTGACACGACGCGACGCAGCGCGCACTTTTTAAAATAGTGATACAAAATATAACTTTATTTACTACAAAAAAAGATACACCTTTAATTGAGATAAATCGAAAATGCCCCGCGGTGTAATGCGACGCATCACGACGCATCGTCGCGTCTCGCAGCAGAGCGGTGCGCGGTGCACGATGCAAAACCACTGGCCTCTTCAAGCACGTTGCATCGCGTCTCTGTGAACTGACCCTTATTCATACTCAAACCAAAAAAGAAATAAAGACGGAGCGCTGCGTTTATTTCAAAGTGACGTAAAAACTAAGCCAAATCCATAATCAATTGATTGTAAGAACACTCATTGTACAACATGGTTTCAAGTGTATATGTGTGCGTTCAGCAGAGAAATTTTACGAGCTAATAAAGAAGCAGTGAGTGCATCAAGAAGTTGACCATGCCCAATTCAAGAAAACAAAAAGCCTATAGTGTGATGCTTAAAATCCTGATTTCTGGTCTGGATGTTCTTGGGTGAAACTGCATATTCTTCTACCGCCACCTACGATTTCGCCGTGTAGTTAGTTAAGCTTGAGCTTATTTACCTCAGCTACGAGTAGGCTAGGCTGAATCAAGCACATTTACATTTTAAACCATTAAATCGTGGTGATGTTGTTTTAAAAGATAGTTCATGTTTTATTTCAGGCACAACCAGACGTTCTGCCTTACGGACTAAAACCCAAAAAGAAATGGGAAGTAGAGGGTCCACTCAAAAGGGCTAATTGGAAGACAATAGGACCGCAGAAAATGTCAGAGAAAGCATTCTGGGTTAAGGTAATATTACTTATTCTAATATATTCTAACTAACAACTTATTTAAATTTGAAATGCATTTTTTGGGTACGAAGATGATGATACATGTAATCAATTTTTTCTACGTAAAACTTATTGTAATTTAATTAATGTCCGAGAAATTAATTACTTGAAACGATTATAGTTATGAGAAGTGCACAAAGATTGGTCCTTTGAGCCGGATTATATTTTGCAAAATTACAATTTTATCAGTACACCATCAAACGTATTACGTTTAGCTTAGTACTTGAATGTATTGTTACTTAAAAACCGATAAATTCATAAACTTTGCTTGATACTGATCTATTTTATGCTTCCTTAACTTTGTCTTAGAGTACATTAATAATGAATATTTTTCCTAAAAAAAAGTATTACATTCTTTAGCTGAAGTTTTAATTAACTATACCTCTCTTCATTTTCATTTTTCAACGTGGTAGAGCCATGCTTCAGCTATATTAGTAGTATAGTTGTAGCACGAATGGGTCGGCTCGACCGGGGAAGGACCACGCTCTCACAGAATACCAGCGTAAAATAGCAGCTTAATGCTGCTGTGTTTCGTATGGTGAGTGTAGAGAACCGGAGACCCATTTTACTGGATAAGAGGCATTCCATCTTAGTCGTTACGGGTGACGACGCATCATTATTTATTGAGGATAAATGTAAATGTCTATGGGGCGCAGCAACCACTTACCATCACGTGGACTGTTTGCTCGTTTGTCACCCTATCCTATAAAAAAATATTTAATATGAGATTTTACGTAAACGAAAAATTGTAATATCGTTTATTTATTTGTGAAATATTTACGATAATGCTTTATATCCATATTCAGCTATGGAATAGCAGTTTGTTGTAATCATAATGTTGATGGATTACGACATTTGAAATGGATCCTTCATTGGTGTTCTGTAATATGTTATTTAAATAAAAACCATATTGTCAAATCACAAATTTTAATCCTATAAAATAAAAATAAATTTATTAGAATGTTTATCTGTGCCAGGTTCAAGAAGATAAACTCGCTTCACCCGACATTCTCAGCGGCTTAGCACAGAAATTCTCCAGCAAACCTGTCGCTAAAAAGAATGAAGATGCAGTTGACAAGTGAGTCGCCAATAAAGTACTTTGATTATAAAAATGGGTGCTGGTCAATGTCAATACTATCTTTAGTACTTCCCATTTCATAAGCAAGCTCGTTATTAAATCAGAAACAAAAGACCAGTTGAAAGATCCTTTTTCTTACGCAATTATTGCGAATAAAAAAGCTGCGGCATGTAATTTAATGAAAACATAATCAGGCGCTCGTTATGAAATAATGAGTTGTATAATTTTCAGAATGGATGTCATCATAATATTGCGGGTCTCAAACCATAGGGGCGTATCCACAAAACCGTTAGGAGAGACAAACTTAATATCTGTTCTTGTGATTGATTCAGCTCGTGTTATTTATACTTTTGTTACTCTAGGTAGATTTATTTTAAGGTATTTCCTCTATAACACTATTTTTTGGTCTTTACATCTAATTTGGCATGACGGCAAAACTGTAAATCTCCATCAAAATTCGCCTAAAATGCTTACAATTTATGGACGTAAACCATTTTTCCTTAAATTATTAATAATTGTACTGATAGTAATTTGAACCTAGTTGGTGAATTTAAATGTTGCAATTTTAGAATCACCAACCATCAAAATTAACGTCATTTCAGAGTTTTAAAAAAATGGTATGTCTGTTTGGCTTGTCATTAATATTGAGAGGTGTTTGGTTTCAAAGTAGTAGTATTAACCGTTTTTGTGCAACAAACAGAAAAAAAATCAAGTGGTAGCAATTACACAATATTTTTTGGGTGAAAAAAAAATGATTCATATAAAAATTTATTCATAAATCTGAATATTATTATTTAAAATTACATTAATTCACTAACGTCTAAAATTCAACTTATGACATTATAAGAAACGAAATAAAATCAAATATAATTCAAAAGAACAGAATTATTTGAAATGAAACAAAAACATTTTGAGAACAGATTTGAGATTTAAAATTCACGATACATGATATTTTCATTAAAAAATATGTAAATCCTTAAAAGAAACTTATAAAACCCAAACATAATAAATTCTGTAAAACATTATAAAACACAATAAAAGATTAAAAAAAATAAGAGCATAGGAAAAAATTCACAAGTATGGAAAACTTATGTAAAGGATACTTAAGTTTTCTTTGCTTGTCTTATTCAGTTAATAAATTATCTTGGCATGAAATTTGCCATTAAAATTATTAAACGATGACAAATTAGCAATTCTTATTGCAATTCAGGTATTAAATGTTATGTAAAATTTTTAATAAGTTGTTTAAGTTGCATTAAAGTGGCATGCCTAGATAATATACTTAAAAAGACACTTTAAATAATTAATCACTTTTTGTTTCTAGATCGACGTCGTAATAGGATGCTCTTGTTGCAGCAAGTGTTACCTCTTCGTCATCATTATTAGCTCCTATCTCCAAATTTTCGTTTTCTACAACATCCGATAAATTTTCTTAATAGCTGTGGCAATTCTTTGAAATAGTTTTTTTTTTATAGGAGAGGGGGCAAACGAGCATGCGGCTCACCTGATGGTAAGTGACTACCGCCGCCCACGAACAACTGCAACACCAGGGAGGCAATTGCAGAGGCGTTGCCGGCCTTTTAAAAAGGAGTACGCTCTTTTCTTGAAGGTCCCTAAGTCGTATCGGTCCGGAAAAATCGCTGATGGTAATCGATTCCACAAGGAAGTCGTGCGAGGAAGAAAACTTCTTCTAAATCGCACAGTGGTGGACCGCCAATCATCCAGATGGTGTGGATGGTATCGGGAGTTCTGCCGCGATGTGCGTTTGTGAAATTTGGCGGCTGGGATTAATCCGAACAATTCCTCAGAGCACTCCCCATGGTAGATGCGAAAGAAAATGCAAAGGGATGCAACATCTCTTCGCAGTGCCAATGAATCGAGCCGATCGGAAAGGGCTCGGTCGTCGACGATTCGAGCCGCTCTGCGCTGGATGCGGTCAAGTGGAAGGAGCTGGCACTGGGGAGCCCATGCCCAGAGATGGGAACAGTATTCCATGTGAGGCCGAACCTGCGCCTTGTAAAGTTGCAGGCGGTGTGCCGGCATGAAATACTGTCCCGCTCTGCTGAGCACGCCAAGCTTTTTAGACGCCAATTTGGCCTTGTCTTCCAAGTGACCACGAAACTGCACGTCACTCGATATGTCGACTCTGAGGATACCGATACTGGCTGAGGCAAGAAGGGGAGTGCCTTGAAACTGAGGAGATACGACAAAGGGGTTCTTTTTAGCGGTTAACGCGCAAACTTGTGTCTTCTGAGGATTAAACTGGACTAGATTTAGTCGCCCCCAATCCGAGACTTTGTTCAGCAAAGAGTCGACTTCAGACACAAGTTTGTTCCGGTACTCGGCACGTTTTCCCGAGAAATATTGGCACGGCCGGTGTATAGCGCATCACCAGTGCTGTCATCCGCATAGCAATGAATGTTACCAGTTAGCAACATATCATTGATATGCAGAAGAAACAGCGTTGGTGATAGCACACAGCCTTGTGGAACACCAGCGTTAATAGGCTTGTAGTCAGAACATGCACCGTCTACAACGACCTTGATGCTCCGATCTGCAAGGAAGCTGGTGATCCAATTGCACAATTTCTCGGGAAGCCCATAGGAAGGAAGCTTCGAAAGAACCAAACCCGATCAAAGGCCTTTGCAATGTCCAGACTAACGGCCAACGCCTCCCCCTTTGACTCTACTGCCTCCGCCCATCTATGGGTCAGGTAGACCAGAAGATCACCAGCTGATCGATCCCGACGAAAACCGTATTGGCGGTCACTAATCAGCTGGTGATCCTCAAGGTACCGGATGAGCTGGCAGTTAATAATGGATTCCATTATTTTGGAGAACAAGGAGGTGATCGCGATAGGCCTATAGTTGGACGGGTCTGAGCGGTCGCCTTTTTTAGGGATCGGGTGGACAAAAGCTGTCTTCCATGAGTTCGGGACTACGCCTTGGGAGTAGGAGTACCGGAAAAGACGCGTTAGGACCGGTGCCAACTCCGGAGCAAACGTTCTCAGCACAATTGGGGGGATTCCGTCAGGCCCACTCGACTTCTGAATTTCCAGGGAGAGAAGTGCTTTGCGAACCGAGCGCTGTGAGAACAGCACATCCGGCATGGAGCACTCACACCGCGGGATGGTCGGCGGTGTTTTCCCCCCGTCATCAAGAGTCGAGTTGGATGCAAAGAGGGAGCCTAAAAGGTCGGCTTTGTCTTTTGTGTCTTGGGCCAGTGAGTCGTCCTCCCTGTGCAGAGATGGTAGTGATGGCTTACAGAAATTCCCTTGGACAGCCTTGGCGAGAGACCAGAATGCACGGGAAGGAAGGCGAACTAGTTTCTCGCCAATTCTGCCTATGTGCTCTGACTTTGCCTTGGCAATAACTCTTTTGAAGGACCTGGAGGCGAAGTTATACTTCTTTTTAAGTGTACTGGTGTTTATATCCCGAGTCACTGAAGCCGCAGCCCAGGCTTGATAACACTCCTGCTTACTGCGTAATGCAGTCTTACAGGAGCGACCAAACCAAGGCTGAGATCTGCCTCCGATGGGTACCACAGATGATGGAATAAATAGTTCCATTCCCTGTAGCACCACATCAGTGATAGAGTCAGCAACAGCGCTGGGATCATCCGGCGAGAAGCAAACCCGCCCCCATGGGTAGGAAGCAAAGAAAGACCGCATTCCGTCCCAATCCGCCGACCTGTAATGCTAAACACGGCGGCAACCTGCAAAACGCAATCGCGAAGGGAGCGTGAGTGTCAGCACACTCCGGATCAGACAATGGTCCGAAGAGCCGAGAGGCATCGACGGAAACCTGATATCCGTCCGGATGAGAGGTCAGCAGAAGGTCCAACAGGGAAGGTGTATGATCCTCCACATCTGGAATCCGCGTATGCGAAGTAACCAGTTGTGTCAGACCATATGCCAAGGCAAAGTCATAAACTTTGCCTTGGCATATGGTCTGATGAAGATCTCCCCGCATGATCGGTTAAACGTGAACCGAGCCATTCGGCGTGGTGGGCGTTAAAATCGCCAAGGATCACGATCTCTGCGGATGGGACCTGTTGTAGCATGGAATCTGTAGCCATTTGGACGTGGTCGATGAGTCGGTCTGTTTCGGCATTACCGCTATGGGACCTATAGAGGCACCCGTAGACGTGCGGATGGTCGTCGCTGTCTACGCGTAACCAAAGGATGGACAGGTCCGAACCTTCAAGACTGCCGAGGCGTCGAGAACAGATGTCCTCTCTGACATACACGCAAACTCCAGCCCGAGGCACAAAGGAGTGCTCCAATTTGTACCCCGGGCAGGAGAGATACGAAATATCAGCCGGAGAGGAAACCTGCGTCTCGGTCAGAAAGAGCAAGGCCGGCTTCGCCGTCTCGAGATGGTAGTTGACGGCGTTTAGGTTAGAGTGAAGTCCCCTGATTTTGCAGAAATTCACGGATAGCGTGGCAGGAGTCGCCTTGGTATTGTTGCTCAGTTTGCCCCGAGCAGTTATGTTTTTGAGCGGAATTTTGCCCCCCCCCCCCCCCCCCCCCAGAATACCCGGGGCAGCCTGAGCACCCACGCTCAGGATTGGAATAACATGGTCGTGGATGCTCAGCGAGGGATTCTCCAGGGGTACTGGTACCCTCCTGGGGTAGTCTATTGTGTAATTCCGCTACCATGTTGATGGGGGGAGGGGTGGGGGGGGGGGGATCGGGCCTCCGGCCACCTGCACTCACCAGACGAAACGCAGAAGCAGAGCTACTTCACGCCGGTATTCTGTGAGTTCGTGGCGTGGTACCAACCTGGCAGCCGGCCCATACGTGCAACAGCAAAAACTGCTGCGTGGCTCTACCACCGTTAAAATAGAATAGTTCGGAATAGTTCTATCCATTCTTTCACATAGCTTTTACATAGCCTTCTTAGGTCTTTATTTTTAACTTGTTTTAATGAAAGTGGTTATGAGTACAATTTGTTTCCATAGAAGAAGAATAGTCCGGCCGAGCTACATTTCTGCTAAGTTTTACCTTTTTAATTTTTTTTCAGTAGTCTAATTTGAAGAAAAGTGAATCGAGAACAGCTTTCGTCACTTATATCCATCTGAAGTTTGTCAATTTTAAGTATCCATCCGTGGGTTTTATTGTTTCCAATAGAGATATCTCGCATTGCTTTAAAGTCTTTAAATTTTACATGATCCATCACCTCCATTTAATATGTTCTTTATATCTGATTCTCTCTCTGTCCTTCTTCGGGACACGAGCATTTCTTTTCTCTGCTTATGAAAATCTATATTTTGTTCTAGGATCAATTCTTTGTATGAAGTCTTGCAGATAGAATCCTTTTTATTATCCAACGTTGTTAACATAACTTATAGAATCAGCCTCTTCTTAATGACTTTGACTAATGAAACTTACTCATTCTGTCACTTCTATTTTAAAAGACTGTTGTAGGTTGTCCATTGTGTTTAGTGGAGAGGGTTGAATATAAGATATAGATGTAATTGGTGACATTGAAGGAAGCTGACTTTCAAAATCTGTAGGAATGTAATTAGGGTATACCATACAGCCATCATCATCAGAACCTCACACTGTTTCTGCTAAATAATTCTGTTATTATTTGTACTGGATGAGGTAGTTGATGTTACTAATATGCTAGATCCTAACAATGGCTGCACAGAAGGGATTCGTGTAAAAAGTGGTGTAAGTTGCCTACTTTGAACTGAAGAAGCTCTTTAAGCGGCATTTTGTTGATTATTTAATACTGACTGACATTGGTGTAAAAATAAGAGGCTAATGAAACATTATAAAAAGTAAGAATAGAATATTTTTTTATTCAATATGGCTTACAAGTAATTCTTATTAAGTAATTTTTTCCTCAGGGTCATGTGGACATTGACGGTCGTATGCGCATATGTCTTTATGGCACGTCAAATCTGCCCCAAGAAGCAATAATATTGCTCTTATATCTACTACACGGCTATGTAGCCTAAAAATAATTTTAGACTGTCTAGCTTACGACAAATGATATTTTGCAATTTATACAGAATGTAATTAATATCAAATTATAAGAAAAATTGAGATAACGTATTTCTTATTGTAGAATCCAATGGCGTTAAAAACAAAAAATCGTATTTTTGCATATATACGCCCCTATAGTTTGAGACCCACGATATATGAGACAAAAAAGTTCACTATCATTCATGTCAAAAGTACGGTATTAAAAAAAAACATGTTGACGTTTGATAAATGAGATTTTAATTTTCTACATCAAAAATAAAAGTTTCTTTTCATTTTTTTTACTGAATTTTCGTTTCATCTTCATTTCATCTTTGTTATATTCTCGTTCTAATTTCATTTCAAAATTTTTATATTATGTAATTTCAATGCTGTTATACACTATACATATATATATATATCAAAGACATTTAAGTATTAGTAGTAATAGACCGGACATCAGCAGCAAAATTGTCGTCTGTAACTTATGTGCTATGGGATATATCTCCGATTTTTGTCATAGTCTTAGTGACATCGTCAAAAAGTCAAGACGCATTCGTTTCATATATTTAAAAAATATTTTTAAAGAAAATATGCCCGGTTGTGCATTGAGATATTGTAAGTCACGATATGGAGCAAAAAATGAACGTGATTTCAGTTTATTATCGTAAATATAATCTTTAAATTTTATTATTTCTAGTACATTGTTCTAGAACATTTATTTTTATTGTAATAAGCGACCTCTGTTATCCAGTAAACGTCACTCTTTAGTTACCAATTTTAAAGTTAGTGATTGACGACGTTTATCGATTGGGATTATCGATAAAAAATATACACCATGCCGATTTAATATTTAAGGAGGTAAAACAGTCAACGATACTGTACCCATATTAATAAAAATGAGTAACATATACCAACTATGCTAAGTACCCTACTTTATGTGGAGCAAGAGTAGGAAATTTTTTTTTAGGCATGCTGATGAGATTTTCTTTGTTGCTTATGAGCATGCTGAGGATACTTGCTGTGTTGATGTTTAGCAATACAGCAAGTCTTCTCTTTTACATACCAGGCTTCATTGCTGGTGGTTTTACACCGGGCTTCATTGTCTGGTGTTTTTCAAGGACAAAGCCATTATAGATCCTCGCTAACAGTGACAGGAGAGGGCAATAGATTTCTTACATACAAAACAATTTGTTCTGTTAAAGATATTAGATACAAGAAGTTGTAGGTTAGGCTTTTAAGTTCAGTGTTTTCCTAAAATATTTTAGATTTGAAGTGTATTTTTGTAATAGAAACGAATTTAAAAACATAGAGGCGCTCTCTTATTGGATTTGGCGTTTCTCGATGTGTCTTTAACGCCGACCGTTCAATCATATGCTATTATTATTGCAGCTAATGGATCGAGTGACGTAATGCCACCAAGGTGGCAACTTGGTGGGTTCTTAGTTATTGGAAATTAAATATTTTATTTCATGACACTTAAAAAGTTAATATGATCTTTTTCGTGTGATGGAAGTCATGATAAATAAATTTATACAATAAAAAAATCATGTATATTTCCTATTACTACATCTAAAAGCATTTCAAACTTAGTAATCTTCAACAACATTATCGATACTTTGATATCGAATCGGTAACATTCCTAAAACGAGGTTATATTTATTAGCGTCACCTACTGGGGAATAGCTAAAATGTTGTCTTAATAAATGCTTACCGTTGTTTTGCAATTTTTAGCTAAAGGGTGCCACACGTGCAATAGTCCAAAGTTTTTGTATATACATGTTCCCAATGTCCGCTCTATAGTATACCTATATATTTAAATCTCTTTGATATATATATAGATTATACTTTGTGTGAGTTGTGGGTGGAGTTGAGGATGCTAGCCCGGCTCAGTCATTCAATCGCTATAAATATAAAATAAGCAAGGTGCTCTGCAAGTAAAATGACTATGACATTTGCAGTTAATGTGGTCATGTTCCCATCACACTTACGACAAGTACTAAAACTAAAACTCCCAATTGGCTTTTCTACAGAGTGTACACGCTGAAGAAAGTGAAGGATCTGAAAGTGTTGGACAGCAAGGCGGCGCAAAATCTTTCCATTCTGCTCGGCGGCTCGCTAAAACATCTCTCATACGAGCACATACGTACGTGTGTGCTGCGATGCGACACCACCGTGCTTACAGCCAACGTGCTCGACTTATTAATACAGGTATTTTTGGTTCGATATATTATGACCCGTTTAGATTTGTAATACAATAATAAGCTATAGTTTTGTTTAATTTTATTATAGAACATGATTTAATTACCCATGCTACTATTTATATTACCACTAGCTGACCAGGCAGACGTTGTTCTGCCCTTTCCGACGACCATTTGCTTTCCTAAAAAAAACTCCTGAAATTAGCATTAAAAAAATTGAGGGTCACTTATCAGGATAAAAACTATCCTATCTCTCAAGTTGGACTAAACTGCACACAGTGTGCAAAATTTCATTGAAATCAGTTCAGTAGTTTAGAAGTTCATCGCGGACAAACAATGTGACACGTAATTTTTATAAATAAAGATTTATTTATATTTTTTTACTTTCAATCTATAGGTATCTTATCTCTACAACTAGCATTTGTAAGTTACTTAATATTTAAATGTAATGATATTTTGTAGAGAGAAATAAAGTTTATTATTATTATTATGGGGTATCTATAAAGTTTTCTCATCTGGTTGGGCAGTATAAATATATAATTGTAAATGAAAATGGTAAACATACATAAATATGAATAAAATAAAATAAATACATAAAAAATACATAAATATATAAAAACCCAACCAGATGGAAGCCCTCGGCAGGGGAGACCAGACGGCCGAGGGTTAGGGGGAAAGGGAAAGAAACCGGCGGACGATGCGAGCGGTATCGAGGAGCACCGCCTTCTGCATTTGAGCCTGGAGCGGTCCGTCACGGAGTCCCAGTCGCCTCAGATGACCCGGTAGGCTGACTGGGATTAACCCGTTCGCAGAAACGACCACAGGAATAATTTCGGTCGGCAGACCACCCCACATGCCGGTAACCTCGTGAGCCAGGTCCAGATATTTTGTCACCTTATCTGTTTCGGCTTTCACGAGATTCTCGTCATAAGGAATGGTAATGTCGACCAAAAAGATCCTTGACTGTGCCCGGTCCATCAGCACAATATCAGGCTTATTCGCAAGAATAGTCCTGTCTGTGATGATGGCCCGGTCCCAGTAGAGCCTGGCGCGGTCATTTTCGAGCACGGCGTCCGGCAAGTACTTATAATACGGCAGTTTCCGATCCACGAGACCGTATTTCAGAGCGAGCTCCTGGTGTAGAATCCTGGCTACTAGATTGTGTCTGTGCAAATACTCAGAGTTAGAAAGCGCCGAACAACCGGAGATGACATGCCTAAGTGACTCACCGGGATGGCGACAAGCTCGACAGATGTTGACGGCGCCATCCTTTAGGATGTATCTCCGATAATTGTTGGTCTTAATAACCTGATCCTGTATCGCACAGACAAAACCCTCGGTTTCCCCAAAGAGGTCACCGAAACGTAGCCAGTGAAGGGAGGCGACTGTGTCTACGAAAGGCTCATGTAGAGCCTTGTAGAACCTCCCGTGGAGCTCCTTCTCCTTCCATACGGCCTCCCGGTCGGAAATGCACTGTACTGCTGGGTCTTGCCATTGCTCGTTGGCTAAGGATAGAGGGGTCAGTCCTTTATCACAAGAAATAACGTCCCTATAGTATGAATCATCCGCTCTCGTCAGAAAGTAATTACGGAGGCTGCACACTTCGCGATTATGCATGGTAAGCGCGCTTAAAAAGCCGCGCCCACCATGCTTCCGCGGCAAGTACAGCCTCATTACTGACGATCTCGGATGATGCATCCTGTGGGACGTCATTATAGTGCGGACTTTTCTGTCCAGAGCGTTTAGTTCGGTCTGAGTCCACCTAAGTATGCCAAAGGTATACATGAGAACAGGCATGACCCAACCGTTATATGCGTGCGTCTTATTCACACCGGACAAAAGGCTGTTAAGCACTTTGGTCAAGCGTGCATAAAACACATCGCTTATTATTATTATTATTATTATTATCTATATAAATAAAATGATAGACGTTTGCAGTTGTGCGCGCATCACGGAAAAACTACTGGGTAGATTTCAATTAGGTTTTCTTAGTTTTATTTCTTAGACACTTGACTCTAATCTAAAAAAAAATATTGCGATATCTTTATTTAATATAAAGTTATTAAAGTTTTAAGAAACAACAATTTTTATAAGCACTACGTGATCAGTGAACATTATATGTAACGAATAACATTGTTTACAAAGAAATTTTGTAACCAAAGTATATTTTTGCTTGCGATCTTTTTAATGTTCTTCTTTCCTTCGCTCATCAATTTTGTGGCTTAGCTTTCCATTGACGTCCGTCGAGTTGGAGATTGATATTTTTGTTTTACAGAAAGGATACACTATTATAAGCACACAGGCAAAGTTTCAACATACGGAAACGCATACTTTTAAAAATCAATCTTTTTCGGAAAGAATCGACATCCCTACTGACGATGACAATGACAATACAAAATAGCGTCAGTTTTACGGTAGGAATTGACATAAATATTGCAAAAATAATTGATTTAAAATATTTTTTTCTCAAAAAGTACGCATTTCCGCACTTGAAACTTTGCGTGTGTGCTTATATTAATGTATCCTTTTTGTAAAAAAAAAAATATCAACCTCCTACTCGACGGACGTCAATGGAAAGTCGTACTAGTTTTGTTAATATACGAGTATCAAGCAACGCGGATGAAGTGCGGGTATCAGCTAAAATAAATAAACCGAAAAACTAAACAAAAAAAACTGAATTAGTTATTCAGTTTTTTTTACCTACAGATACCTACGATTTTTTTTTCCCTATTTTTATTACCAGACAACATTTTTATATTTATGATGACTTTGGAATTTTGTTATCCATAATTCAATGACCCTCTTCATCTACAGAAAAATAAATATTTGTCTCCTTCGTTCTCAGTACCTACCTCCAGCGGATCAGCTTAAGAAGCTATCGGAACTGAAGTGCAAGAGCGAAGAGTTGACGGAAGCTGAGCAGTTCGCTGCAACAGTTGCAGATATTAAACGGCTCGTGCCCCGATTGAGGAGTTTAGCATTTAGGGAACATTACGCTGAAATTATATCCGAAGTTAAACCGGTTAGTATTTTCATAATGTTTATTTATTTTAATCTATCCTCTGCGTCACTCGCGATGTAATACATCTAGACCTTAGCACCAATAATTTGTTTTTTTATAATTACAAAATTTCTGTGTCCAAGCCTAGAAGCTTAGGATTCAAGCTTATGGTTACAGTATTACACACTGATATCTGCGTGCCTAGTGCGAGTTTTTTTACGTATTCGATCGCATTAACGGTAACTATGATTTGTATGAAAAAAAAACAGCGCTAACTAGTTGCAATATTCGGAAACACGATTTGTGAGTGCGAGTTTAATAAGTTGTCGTTATCTACCATCAACATTGACTAGTATTCGATAGGGAGAAAGTTAACGCTCGTGATTGGTTATTTCAAGTATTTAAGGAGTGCGAGCGGCGATTTTGATCGTTCGAGACGTAACTTATGTAAACTTTACTCTAACGCGATCTAAACAGTTTTCACAGATTTTTACAGTGAGAAAATAGAGTGAGAACAATTGTTGAAGTACATGCATATCACTAATAATTTAAAAAAAAGCTCATCCTGACATAGCGATGGATGACTATTTATCGAAATTTATTATAGCCGTTTCCAAATAAAAGAAATGCGTAATAAATAGCAATAATTATTTTATTGGATCATGTTATATACGCTGTTAAATAAAAGGAGAAATCTTAACTATAGTACAATAATAAATATAATTAAGTGTTCATTGTAGTTAAGGAAAATTTGACCAGATTTAACAAAATTAAATGATGATAATCTTTAATTTTGTTAAATCTGGCACGATTTGTACGGTTTTACTCGACATCTATTTAAATATGTTAAAAATAGTAACACTGGAAATGTAATTTTAGTGATTGGAATTTAAAATGGTGTTATAAAATGTAGGTATTTAAGAAACTAATTATGTTTTATTTTAAGGATATTGTATCCGGCACGGCGGCGTGTGAAGAAGTCAAATCTAGTGGGAAGTTTGCTAAAATATTAGAGCTGCTATTGCTACTTGGAAATTATATGAATACGGGTTCAAATAACGCCGGCGCGTACGGATTTGAAATAAGTTTTCTTACTAAGGTTAGTCTTTCACTAAAGCAGTAATTAAAAAAATCACTTAGGTCTTTTTAAATATTATCATCATATTAAATATTGCCATATTAAGCTTTACACCATACATAGATACCATACATAGTGTTTAACATCGTCCCGTGGCCCTTGAATGTACTTAAGAGGCTGCAAAGGGAAATTAAATAGAAGACTCGCAGCAGCATCTTCCCGATAAGAACTCAAAATAATGAAAAACTGCACTTGCAAACCCGACTTTCAAGCGTAGTAACTATGGCAAATATTCCTCCTATCAAGCAATCTATGGGGAAAATCTATGTTTAACAGAAGACCTTTGTTAGGCTGCATTGAATGAAAGAATTGAATAGTGATAAATAAATAACACAAGCTTTTAAACTTTTCCCCGTGTAGTGGCAGGTAAGAATACTCATTACCCCATATCTTCCCGTGAGTGTCGTAAGAGGCGACAGAGAGAAACTGAGGTAGAAGATGGGCAGCAGTATCTTTCTGATAACAGCAAATAATAATAAAAAAAACTGCGGTTACCAACCCGCTGGCCAAGCGTGACAACTATGGCAATATGGGGTATATTGATGAATAAAGTTACGAAGAGACGGCCTCCAGTCCCCGGCGGCTCTGGCTACGGTGGCGACCATGATAGCGGTGGGGCAGGGGGTGCTAAGAATCTCAAGTGGAGGTTCGGTTGCCACCTAAGACGACTCGACCTGGAAACATATAATGCACACACCGTGAGGACTGACGAGAAGATCCTGGAGCTAGAAGAAAAGATGTCTAAGTTGCGTTAGAATATTATGGGATTATACGAGGTCCGAAGAAAGGTGGAGGACACGGCAATTCTCGAATCCGGCAACTTGTTCTATCACCAGGAACGTGTTGGATTTATCATCCACAAGTCTCTCGTTAATAACGTTGTAAAGATTGGGTGTGTCGACGAGGGTTGCGTATACCTTATACTCAGAATCACCAAACGGTATTCGCTGAAGGTCATACAGTTTTACGCACTAACCTTGGCACATCCCGATGAGGAGGTGAAGGAAATGTATGAGGATATATTTAGAGCCATGCATTCCTCCAAAACCCCATATACTGTATTAATGGGAGACTTTAATGTAAAACTAGGCACAAGACAGAACGGTGAGCTGAAGGTAGGGAAATTTGGAATAGAGCAACGGAACCCAAGGGGCCAGCAGCTGGCCTACTTCATAGAGAAAAAGGGACTCTTTATGATGAAATCTCTCTTCCAGAAGCGGCCCCACAGGAAGTGGACCTGGTCGAGCCCCGACGGTTAAACGAAAAATGAGATTGACTTCATTATGACAACTGTTCAGTAATGTCTCAGTGATCACGAGTGTGAAAACTGGAAGCGATCGCTGAATGGTTAGAGGCATACTGAACCTTAACGTTAAGTTGGAGAGGTCTCGTCTAATGAAGTCAACGCTCCGTCTCCCTCGTGCTCTTATCCAATGCCCCGAAACCTTTCAGCTCCAGTTACAAAACCGTTTTCAGTGCCTCGAAGACTGTAATGCAGTGGACGATATTATGACAAGCTCGTGGAAAGTGTCCATGCGGTCGGAACTAAGTTTTGCAAGATCTGCCGCAGAAGAACACAAAAGCTCTCCTCTCCGATCACACTCTTAATCTCATGGCTGTTAAAAGGGAAATGAAGCTGCAGCCTTCAGCAGATTTGACAGCATACAGGCAACTGAACAGAGATCTCCAAATGCATGCGGCGAGACTTACGCAACTTTAATACTGCTCGTATTGAAGAAGCGATCGAGAGGAACCACTGCTCCATAGTCTTTGCCAGAGATCTGTCTACCAGAAAGAGCCAACTGTCGAAGCTGAAGACCGAGTGTAGCAGCATCGTTTCCGGGATACCCGAGATTTTGAGTGATATTGAGAGGTTCTATGGGTAGCTGTACACATCATCGTTGGAGCCACACGCAGGTGTAAGTGACGATCCAAGAGCAAATCTTATCCGACACTATTCCGATAATATTCCGGACGTAAGTAAGTCTGAGCGAGATTGGAATGGTACTCCAGCACCTTAAAAATGGCAAGTCCCTAGGCGAGGATGGAATTACAGCGGGGCTTCTGAAAGCGGTTGGGAAAGAAGTCCTTCAGAAGTTCTTTATTTCCGTCCTCTATGGTGGGACTACCTCGGAGTCGTGAAGCAGAAGTGCGGTGGTCTTGTTCTTCAAGAAAGGCGGCAACGCTCTCTTGAAGAACTACAGACCAATTTACCTTCTGAGCCGCGTCTACGTGTTGTTTTCGAGAGTCATTACGAATCGTCTCGCACGCAGACTCTACGACTTCGAGCCTCCCGAACAAGCCGGTTTCCCAAAAGGCTTTAGGACCATAGGCCACATACAGCCTTCGGCAAATTGTACAGAAGACCGAGGAGTACAATTTGCCACTGTCTTGCGTATGTGGACTATGAGAAAGCCTTTGATTCCGTTGAAATTTGGGCGGTGCTGCAGTTCCTTCAGCGGTGCCAAGTTGATTGTCGGTATATCGAAGTGCTTAAGTATTTGTACAGTAGGACTACGATGGCTATCCGAGTATAGAATAAGAGTACGAAACCTATCCAACTACAGAGAGGTGTAAGACAGGGTGACGTAATATCCCCGAAACTCTTCACTGCTGCATTGGAAGATGTTTTTAAGCTACTGGACTGGAAAGGATACGGTATTAACATCAAAGGCGAGTACATTACTCACCTTCGATTTGACGGCGATATAGTACTTATTGCAGAATCGCTGGAGGACCTAAGCACTATACTCAATGAGTGCCTTCCAACGGATAGCTCTTAAGATGAACATTGACAACAAAGATGTATAACGTCCATGTCACACTTATGCCGGTAGTTGTTGGAAGCACTAAGCTCGAAGTTGTTGACGAGTATGTTTACCTGGGACAAACAGTCCAACTTCGACCGAGAGGTCAATCGACGGATTAAACTCGGCTGGGCAGCGTTCGGAAAATTACGGCATATCTTCTCGTCAAGTATACCTCAAAACTTAAAAACAAGACTGTACAACCAGTGCGTGTTGCCAGTAATGACTTATGGAACTGAGACGTGGTCCTTCACTGCTGGCTGTATGAGGAAGCTCAAGTTCGCTCAGCAAGCTATGGAGAGTGCATGCTTGGTGTTTCTCTGCGTGATAATTTTAGAAATGAGGATATTCGTAATTGAACCAGAGTGACCGACATAGCCCAACGGATTAGTAAGCAGAAGTGGCAATGGGCCGGCCACATAGCTCGAAGAACCGACAACTAATGTGGCAAAAAGGTTCTCGAGTGGCAGCCTCGTACCGGCAGGCGAAGGGTATAGGGCGACCCCTACTAGATGGAGCGACGACCTGTTAAGTCGATGGATGCAGGTGGCTCAGGACGGTGCTTTGTGGCATTCCTTGGGGAAAGCCTATGTTCAATAGTGGACTTGTGAAGGGTTAAAAATAGAGAAGAGAGAGGGAGAGCCAAGAAATATTGTTGTGTTTTACAACTATAATTTTCAAGCATTGTCGTGTAATATCATTCCAACGCGAATTAGAGCAGCGGGCGGACTCTTCCGCTCTCTAATATCTTAAAAATGAGACGCCCTGTGCCCAACAGTGGGATATATGTACGCTTTTACAATAAACTTTTCTTTTCATATAATGTAATAATACCATGTGTTAAACCACAATCATCTTTTTTTATACACTTATTTTGCATGTAATATAATAGGTCTATGGTAGAGTAATAGAGAAACACTTACAATTTCTTTACGATACAATGAATTGCATATTACATGAGTTTACATAAAATGAACTTAATTGTAGTTGACTGCCACTAAAGATCTGGAGAACAAGCAAACACTACTACATTATTTAGTCGCAACATTAGAAAGCAAGTTCCCTGACTGCTTGTCGTTCGCCGAAGAAATGCCACATATAGACAGGTAAGAATTAGAACCAGTGCAGGTTAATTGTATGCATTACATAAAGAAATTATTAAATTTAGCTGTTATATTATTTACTTTTTATAAAACAATGAATATCTAAATTATATCAGATTTTTTTTATCAACATGTGATAAAAATGGCCAACTTAATTTTGCGTTCTGTACACGCATCTTTTAAATAACGACTTGCCCAAAAAATTATAATTCTATAAAAAATATTAAAGTTATAAAAAAGTATCAGAAAAGCAAATCTAGTTTGTTTCTTGTTTAATTCAGGGAGCTAAAATGACAAACTACCAATGACAAACTCAAAATTAATGTTTTAAAAAATGTATGGTGCTATAAACCCACTGTCTTCTAGTCAATACATATACTTAGGTTCGGGGAAAGACTACGCTCTCACAGAATACCACCATAAAATGGCAGTTTCATGCTGTTGTGTTTCGTATGGTGAGTGTAGAAAACTGGAAATCCTTTTTACTGAAAACGGGGCATTCCATCTTATTCCTTAGGGGCGACAGCATCCACAGGATGTGTGGACCATAGGTGTTAGCAGGCTGTGTTATCAGATGGACTGTATGCTCGTTTGTCAACCTTATTCTATAAAAAAATACATATTTGTTAAGTGTCCTTGAACACTTTAAATATTTAAAAAGAAATCGTGGTGTGTGTGTGGACAGTGAACTTTAAAAATTAATCAATGTTTTACTGTAGGGCGGCGCGAGTGTCATTGGAGAACGTGCAGAAGTCTTTAAAGAAGATGGAGAATGACATCAAAGCATTAGAAATGGATCTGAACAATTCCCGAGTACCACAGAGTCCGGATGACTTGTTCCATGAGACCATGAGTGTATCCTTTGAAAAAAACATTTGTATTTTTGCATACATTAACCTCTGAAAATAAGGCGCACGGCATTTTTTCGGCAGTTTAGTTGTTTATAACGCGTATATCAAAAAATTTTAATGATCATTAGTCTTTCTGTCCAAGTGAAATGTGGGTGTCGTCAGGAGAAGAATAAATAGGGTTTTATAATTAATGAGTCAAATTTACCATCCAGTACTACATCACACTTACCATGAGATGGGACAGTGGTCAAGCACTAGCTTATAATTTATAAAAAGGAAAAAATATGTGTTTCTTGTTACAATTAAAAAAGTTAAAGTTACAGCCTATATATGTCTCACTGTTGGACACAGGCCTCCTCTCATTTCTGAGAGGATTTTAGGGCAATTTTGAGACTTGTCTCAATATATTCGGGATCCACTATATATTATTAAGGTACATAGTTACTATGCCCTGTAATTATAACGTGTTTTACCATGATATCATAACAACTTTAACGAAACATATAGTCATTTGCAAAAGAGGCACGGGAACAGTGCGACCTACTCCACTCGATGTTCCGCAAGATGGAGGCGTTGTACGGCGAATTGGCGGAGTACTACGTTTTCGACCCGCACAAGTACACACTGGAGGAATTCTTCTCAGATATCAAAACCTTTAAGGACTCGTTTGCTGTAAGTCTAATTATAATATTAAGTCCTTTAAATAAACAAATGTCTCGTACTGTGTAACGGGCCATTCATTATTTACTTAAGGATGACTTTGGCGAATTTGCCCCTCCCTCCCCATCCCACCCCCACACCCCTGATATAAATCGAATTGTGCAATAAAGAATGAAGAAAATCATTCGTCATCCGAAATGGAACTAGATTTCTAATATTAAATTTCGATTTACAAAATATTACCTAAGAATGTGTTTACCCCCCTCCCCCACAAGATTAGGATATGTAGAGATTTTTAACCCTAAAATATCCATTTCTTCTGGTACTGTGATCAACGTTAAGTGTGACGAATAGACTAAATCCTTCACACAACGGGAGGGACCCGTGTCCAGCAGTGGACTTTAACGGGCTGACAAAAAAATAATAAAAACCTTACACACGTCACTACAGACTCATAAAATATTTAATGAAATTCTTGAAGTATCACAAAAACATAAGTGTCAGTATGTCCATTTCCTTACATAGTGAATTTAGTACCACTCAAGCCCTATTACTACAAAGTGAATCTGATAACATTAACAAGTGGAAAAATAAAAAATGTTGTACAACCGACTTCAATATAAATAAAATGAGAACATCATCACTGTAGTCGAAGTCAATTAAATACACATTATTAAGGATAACTTAAAAACTACTGGTCAGATCTTGATTAAATTTGTATGGGGCTACATGAGAAACACCAGCCTTTAAATAAAACAATCGAAAGATTCATCAAAATCGCTTCACCAAGAATAAAGTTCCGAGGTAACACACATAAAAAAAAAATAAATAAAAATACGGTCGAATTGAGTACATCCTCCTTTTTTGAAGTCGGTTAAAACTACAGAATACCATCCACAGTATGATCACAAAACGCTAACTAAGTCTTTGACAGCATCTATGCCTTACAGAGGAGTGCATCCACAGGCATGCCTATTGAAAAGTGTTGCTCATACTTACCATACTGAGCAAGAGTGATTAGCGCTATAAAACAAAACACACTATGTCATTATTTATGCGATATCTTCTTCAATTATTATTGTAGTTACTCACTTCAGGGTTGGTCCCATATGAATTTGGAGAAAAGAATCTATCCTAAGGGTTAATGTATTATTTAGATGACATTCTAATTGTTGCTTTGAGTTTGTGATATTCCTTAGTGAAAAGAGTCAAAAAATTTACTTTTAATAAACAGTAAAAACCGACTTCAAAACCCTAAAATGAAATAATTTCATATTGTTTAATTTTTATATAAACTATGTCTTAGCCATGACTTCAGAATGTGACATTATTCAAAACTTTTATAGTATTTTGAGACTTTTTAACTTTTTTAAAGTTCAAGTAATATTTGTAATTTTTTATACTTAACTTATAAAGCATATTTTATTACTGAATTTTGTCAGGCGGCACACCAGGAGAATTTAGTAGCGAGGGAAACGGAAGAGCGAGCGAGAAGAGCGCGGGAAGCAAGAGTGGCCGCAGAGCGCGAGCGCAGGGACCGCCAGCACCGCTACAAGCAGTTCGTCGACATGGAGCGAGCGCAGGACGGCGTCATGGACAGGTACACCCTACAACTTCCTTGCGCTATGTAATGGACGGCTCTGTGGCGCAGTGGCTTAGCAATTTGTTGCTGCTGCGCTGGGGGGCGCGGGTTCGAATCCCGCACGGGACAAGTATTTGTATGGCCTACAAATGATTGTTCCGGGTCTGGATGTTTGTCCTTGTGAAATTTGTGTTTGTAAACTGCCTCTACGATACAGGAGAAAATCCTAGTGTGGGGGTAAAAAAAAATGCTCTTTTGACTTATCCATAGTCATGCTACAGCTATATTATAGTTGTAGCACGAATGGCTCGGCTACACCGGAGAAGGACTGCGCTCTCTCAGAATACCAGCGCAAAATTGCAGCTTAACTCTGCTGTGTTACGTATGATGAGTTTAGAGAACTGGAGGCAATACCATCTATTAAACCATGCTGCCCAGAACTGTGTTGCATTACATCCTCGGGGTAACCAAGCATACTCTGCTTTTTTTTGTTTAAATTTTGTTGCTGGTGTATCCATGAGCTGCAGATACCGTTTAGCTTCGAGAAAACTAGTGGTTTCCTTAAAACTATCAAATATAAAGGAAAGTTGCTAAAATATCATAAGATAGCTAAAAAATGTGTATGCATTTTAAAATTATTTTTTGTTATTCAATATGTACTATTTTCTACGCCTTGTAAAGGTTAAATTAGAGCTTTTTTTGGAATTTACGATTACATTTTATTTACTATTTATTATTATTCCAGTTTGATGGAGGCGCTACAAAGCGGGTCAGCATTCAGCAGAGAGCGGCCTCGGAAAAAGGCTAACCCCAGAGTAGCAGGAGGTAATATCTTTTTTAATTAAACGTTTACTGTCCGTTGTTTAAAATCACGTAGTGATTAAAATATTTGAAATATTTTATTTAGATTTGCAACAACAAAAATTTTAGTTACAATACCTACCATAAGTCATCTAAATCACAAATCAAAACGTCCGGAAAGATTAGTTAGAAATCAAAACACAATAAATATCCAACGATACGACTTATTCGTTACCATAATAATATGTAATATTATCTTGTACGAATTTAAGCAATTTTTCCTTCGTTTGTGCCAAAGAGACTTCTTCAGCGCATTCTACTACCAATTTGTGAATGTTTATTCGATATGTTGTCTATTTGTGTATATTTTCAGCTGAACTTAAAATTTTAAATTGGCAATGATTTTATTACATAAATAGTTTCAAATAAAAAAATGTGTTATTTACCTTGACGTTTAAGTCGTATTACGTGACACCAGAATAGATAATTATAACTTTTAACAAAAAGTGAAAACCGACTTCAAATTGATAAAAAAGAAGTTATTTATTTGCTACCCTTAGGGGTGAAATTTTTTCTCTAAATTTATATGGCACCATCCTTGAAGTTATATCCTATTTAATAAAAAAGAATAATCAAAATTGATTTTCACAATCTGCGAAGATATCGCGTAACATACATACAAAAAAAACATATACTCGAATTGAGAGCCTCCTCCTTTTTGAAGTCGGTTAATAAGATATACACTTTACCGGAATGTTGCACGCACATCACTAGAGGAGGGAAGTGAAGAAGAAAGTTTGGTGCAAGCGATTTTGCACCGTATCGCAGGTACACAGTTACACATGATTGTATCAAATTTTTTGCCCATATTACATTAGAAACCTATTTTGTGCTTTTAAGTATTTAATGTTCAATGATTCGTATTGTAAATACAAAGATTTTTTCGCTTTTGAGCTTCATTGAGAAAGCAATTCACTAATATTTTTAATAGCTGTTACCTGCTCGCTTCGCTGGACGTAAATTTGATAATTTCACTACAAAAATTCATTAAAATCTGTTCAGCCGTTTAAGCGCGATTTAAGGACAGCCAGACTTTCTCAATTATAATTTTAGTTAAATTGTTCTACGTTTTAAAACTCGATTTAAGGACAACCAGACTTTCTCAATTATAATTTTAGTTCAATTGTTTTACGTTTTAAAACTCGATTTAAGGACAACCAGACTTTCTCAATTATAATTTTAGTTAAATTGTTTCAAGTTTTAAAACACGATTTAAGGACAGCTAGACTTTCTCAATTATAATTTAAGTTAACTTGTTTTACGTTTTAAAACTCGATTTAAGGACAACCAGACTTTCTCAATTATAATTTTAGTTAAATTGTTTTAAGTTTTAAAACGCGATTTAAGGACAAAAGTTAAAATTGTTTTACCTTTTAAAACTCGATTTAAGGACAATCAGACGTTCGCAATTATAATTTAAGTCAAATTGTTTTATTTTGCTGTGTTATTCATTACAATAGTTTTAAAATGTTAAAATTTAAGCATACACTTGCTACATTATAAATAAAAACTGATTGTCTTCATTGTATTCCGTCCAAACAGCGTCAGCTTCTGCGATGCGTTGTGGACGTACGTCGCGACGCGCGCGCCGTCCGTCTTCTCCCAAGCTAGAGACCTACAGACAAGTGCTTCACAAAGTGTTTTAGGCTTTAGATGTTAACTATTTATCAACGATAATAATTGTCAACGTAACATTCCTATTCGACGAAATATTTCTTTCTAATATTTTTCTTAATTTGGTTATTTGACAACCCTAACCAACTAAATAATTTTACTAATTCATATTGCAAGATTATTTTTTACTACTTTTTTCTTTTAAAGTAAATGTGGCCTGATCAGATTTTAAAAACTTACCATATTGCGGATGTTTATAGAAGTCGTTTAATTTGCCGATAACATTAAAATGATTTGTCCGTCAAATTATTTACACGAGTCTGTGTAAACAAGTCGAAAACAAGAACAGAACACAACTCTATTAACTTGTAACAAAAAAGTCCACGCATTTTTGAAGTGTTTTAATTAGAAGTTCCTTTACACGATCTCACGATCACGTCGTCGTCTTTTGATAAACTTTGGCTTTCGGTCCTTCGGTATTTACTCATTTTTCATAAAAATTAAGCTTTTCAATTTCTGAGTAAAGTCACACCAAACTGATTGATGCAGGATGATGACAACGTTGAACTTTTACAACAAGTGGCGAGACTTCTTAAGGGCTGTGAGCATACACTTTGTCAGTTTGCTTGTTGTGATGATTTCAATTGTAATTTTTCTATCTGTTGAGAGTACGGAGCAAATACAAAGAGGAGGTGGTGTAATTAGATTTCAGTATGTAACAACGCGTGACAATTTGCGGTGTGAGGAGGTGTTAAGCCCCGCCCACTTAATTATTTTCCATCTACCGATAAATAGTAAAACTACTCGCATCATTCTATATCGATGTTTCAATGTAGTTTAGTTATCGTGACGATAGATGGCGGCATGTTAACAAAATGATTATAAAAACTATAAAAATAATATTTTGGCGATTAAAAATTCTTTAGGACTGAATGCAAAACAAATTTTAGCACCTTACTAAAACTGAGCTCTACGTACCTTTATGTTTTTAGTTCCCATGACGCAGTGTCGCTATTTAGTGTGTCGAATATATTTAATTATATTTGAAAGCCGACGCAGAGATATTTCTAGAACTATTTTAATAAATTAGGTACAAAATTACTTACAAATGAAATATGATGCCATCCATAGCATCAGAGCGTCTATCTGAGTGGTTTTTACATGATAAAACACAACACTTCATCCTTTTGTTCTTAACACTACGAAAATACTCCGATTTGCTATTTTCGACACATAAGCGCACAGGACGAACGCTGACAGTATACTAACTAAAGCCACGCCCACTGTGATGACGTCAAGACCTAGTTAGAATCCCAGTGTACAGTTGCTTAGGCCGCCTTCTCTTTGTATTTGATCTGTGGTTTCCACTACCGTATCAGGATAGCAAACGCTGTGATAAATCCATTCTCTTAAGTTGCATTTATTTTTAATTTGGACTGTTTTAGGGCATTTTCTGTGTATCGACAGTAAGAACTAAGGGTCTTTGCGAGTATCTACATTTCACGCAATAATGTTTTGAATCCCCAGAGGTTTTTATTGAATTATAGCTTTGACAGAGTTTATTTATAGCCCGTCTGGTTCTAGTGGCATGGGCTCGCCTTTATCTTTTATGGCCTTTGACAGAGTCATTGTTGGTGTACCTGTACAGAGTCATTGTTATGTAGCTTCTAAAGCGCTTGCCAGAAATGATATATGACAATTTGTAAACCACGCTGAAAAATAATATGTTCAGTTGCAAAAAATCTATCAAAGTTTATTTAACAATAAACGCATTTCAAATTTGAATTCAAAAAACAAAAAAAAAGAACTTTTTAAATTACAATATTTACTAGTTTAGTAGAAATCTTAACTTTCGTTATATTAGACTTACTAAAAATCGTGGTATATACAACCATAATATCCATATTTTAGTTTGTGAGCACAGATTGTCATTAAAGGAACCATTAACGGACATATTTAATTACAATACTTACATAATTGTTTTATTATTTATTTTAATTCGAAATAGAAGAGCGGATAGATCTACAATATTCTGCATGCCATATTCTAACTTAACCTAGCTTTTGATGTTGTCTGTGTTTATTAATTATAATTTCCGTATTTTTATAAAGCTTTTGCTCTCAGCTTAAAATACTATATGTTGTTGTGATTCAAATAAATATTTTTTAATTTTTCGGTGCGTATGTCACAGTCAAAATTCATCGTCACTATCGTTACAGCCTATTAAAGTCCGCTGCTGAACATAGACCTCCCGCATTGATCGCCTTATAGGTGGGGATATTTGCCATAATTGCCACGCTTGGTAAGCGAGTTGACAACCACGGTTTTTTTTTATTTAAGTCGTTATTAGGAAGACGCTGCTGCCCATCTCCTGATTTGTTTCCCTCTGTCGCCTCTTACGACACCCACGGTATGATATGGGGTAGTGCATATTCTTACACTGCCACTACACGGTACAAACTTATAACTGGTAGAAAGCACTTTTGACCGTGAAAATCAGTCAAAAATGGTTTTGATCGATGCTTTTAGTCAAAAACAGTTTTGAGTTATTTTTTTAGTCAAAAGTGGTTTTGACCAACGTTTGTAGTCAAAAGTGGTTTTAACTGATTTAAAGTTCAGACTCTCGGTGATAGTAGGTAAAGGTGCGACTGGGGTTGCCACTTGCCTTTGCCTTACAATTATATAAAATAAAATATTGAAAGAATTTATAATTCTCAAATATTTAAACTTTTTAATTTTAAAAATTCATAAAGTATAAGTCGGAAATAGTTCTAACTAACATACATTCTTGGTCAAAACCTCTTTGAACCGATATAATTTGGTCAAAATCACTATTACCCAAAGTCAAAGTGGTTTTGACCAACGTCCTTAGTCAAAATTACTTTTGCCTGATTTTTGCAGTCAAGTGTAGTTTTGACCAGTTATGAGTTCTGACTTTAACGTATATATTAAATAGGAAATACATATATTCTTCTGTATAACTATAATTTCGAAACCATTCGGTACATGCTAAATATAAATTAGTCTACAAATAAAATTATTATTTTGATATTTAATTAAGGAAAACATGCAATTAATAAAATAGAACATGACTAACTCCATCTAAACTTAAAGTAATTTGTTCGTTTATTATTCACAGCTGAACGAAGAGCCCAGCTAAGTCGATCGCGCTCTCGTTCCGGTCTAACAGGGCCGCTCACAACTCGAGAACTGACTAAGTAAGACCACCTATTTTATTATATTATCATAAACTATGGTTTTAAAACGAATGCTGAAAGCCTAGACTAAAGTGGAAGCCTAAAATTTGCCAACACATGCTCTCTGTGGTATGGTCGATACTTTACGCTTCTATTGGCAAGGGCCAATGGCGAAATTATTTCTTTAATATAAAAGAAATAATTTTGCCACTTTGTGCTGTAACAATGAGGACTGATAATTTTACGCTCACCAGATGTCGCTAGTTGAGAGTGAAGTGAACGTATTTGTTACAGAATGTCATTAAAGTTGTGAAATTGCCTTTTAAATAAAAGTTTATCGGTTTCTAGAGTGTACAAATACACAAAACACGTACCCTTATTTTTTTATTTTGTAACTTTTAGAAATATCCATAGTTTGTTTTATCCATTTTTTTTATCCATAATTAATATAAAATATAACTAATATTTCAGAAAGAAATATTAACCCATGCATTTTCCAAACAAATTAACTTTCCCGGTATTGAATCTGTCAAATATTTCACCTCATTCCTAAGTGACGCCGCCATTATGGCAGAAAAAAGCGTATTGCTAAGGTGAGCCTACTGAAATTAGATAAAGAATATAAACATGCTGTACTTTGCTAAATAGCGTTAAGACTGCAAGCGATTAATACCACAAGAGTACAATTAATATCCCTGTCATAATTTTGTTTTAAGTTTTAATTTTAATTCAAGTTTATTATTGCTCGGAATATGTACTCTTACAATGTATCATGAATTATTAAGGAAAATGTGTCAAAATGCACCCTGAAAAGTTTGCTTACATACTTAACCCGTATTCCTGTTCTGACTATAAATTAATTCAAGCAATTAGACTGTAAAAGTTTCACTGTTGGACGTTTAATATTATTTAAAGTTGGTAAAACAGTATCTGATATTCAAATCATTACCATCAGCTAGTTTTGGCAACGACACGGGTTTTTTTAGAATAAGGATGACAATCGAGCACATAATCCACCTGATGATGGTAAGTGGATGCTGTGGTCCATAAACATCTACATCTATCCTCGATTAATAATCAAAATGCAGATGCGTTGTCACCCGTGAGGACTAAAATAGAATGCCTCGTTTTCAGTAAAAAGAGTCTCCGGTTCTCTACACTCACCATACGAAACATGCAGCATTAGGCTGCGATTTCACGCTGGTATTCTGTGGCCCTTCTCTGGTCGAGCCGACCCTTTCGTCCTACAACCATTATATAGTTGCAGCGTTGCTCCACCACATATACTTGTGTCCAGACCAGTTAAATGCCTTTTTTTAAAACCATGTATACTGAGATGCATAAACAATGTTTTTATTTAATTTATGTATTATATATTTTATGATATAGTCCATAATACCTATTTAGTAGTTTATATTGAACTATATATTTTTATGTCCGCAGCGAGCTGCTGAGCAACGCGTGATGTCCCACAGTGATACTAGTACCGTAACATACTCTAGTTTGTAAGCGCTTTAAAGAATTATATTTGTATATATTTAAATCGTTCGATATATGCCGTGTCATGTGGAATTGCTAGTGCAGGCACTCATTTCGCATTAACGAATACTTTTTATACAAAAGTAATGCTTCGTTATAATTATAATATAGGACACCACGCCGCGCCGTCGAGTTCTTTTCTCTCATTTCAAGTTTAAGTTTCCTTGGATTTGTTGTACTTTTAATATTTAAATGCACATCTGTGTGTCACTGCTATATGTCATGGCATATTAACGACATTAATGTACTGTTCGAGGCCTAAATGCCGCTGGGCATTATAACTTAAACAATAGTAAGACTCATAGAATAATTATTATACAACGTGAAATTTCTGCTTTTATAACCAACTCATCGTGACGTTTCAAAATTATTTATTGAGCTGTAATGTAACTTTTTTAATTAAAATAATGAAGAGTTAAATATTTTTAATTTAATAGAAAAATATTGATTAATAGTCCAGTAGTAATTGATGTAGTTGTAAGAAAGTTTTAACATGTACATATTGTATTTTAGTCGCCAATATACTATCAGTAATGTATAATTGTTAAAATTGTTGCGCCATTTTAAAATAAAAATTGTTTTTAAAGCGGCGATTATTACAGTTTCAAACTCGGATATCCATGAATTATCAATATAATTGAATGGATAATAAAAATCAACTCCGTCTTCCGTACTATGGAATTCTCGTGGATTTGATAACATACAAAACATTTAATTAAACTTTAACTTTTTATCTGTATTCGAGATGAGCACTTAGTACTCTCTTTTTATGCTTTAAATATCAAAATAATTTAATAAGGTTTAGAGATACATATAAAAACCAAAATTTCCCAATATTGGATAACATCACAAAATATTCAATGGTGTAGGCAGATACGGATAGTAAAGATTTGCTATTGATTTTTTCATCATATTGAGTCTAATAATAATAACTACTTTAAAATCGCATTTCATATTGTCTAGCTATTATGAATAATAGATGATATTTTCTAAACTTGTACTTCAATTTTAGCTCAAATTTATCGTAGACACATGTCATAAACTTTAAGTGAAAAAACCCTATCTGATCCGTAAGGGTGCCTTTAGGTATTGTGATATAGTTCAGTTAAACCTCTTCTGAGAATGAGAAAAAAAATCACTCCGCATAGATAAAATAACATATAATTAAATGGAGAAACTTACATGGCAACACATGCGGAGCGGGCGGCAGTTCGGTAACAATATCTAGTGGTCATGACCATAGTTTTGACCTCCCGTTTTACTTATTAATTTATTGTTCGTTTGTTAGAAACAATGATATAAAAAAAAAACTCAAACGCTGCATAACTGCACCAAACATTTGCAAAATTTTAGGCAAATTGTAGCAAAAAAAATGAATTTTTAAATAACAGTAACATTTTTATATACGTTAATGATTTTTTGTAATGTTATTGCGGTACCTATGTGCCCTTGTCTAATTGGATAGGGTATTTACTTATTGTTTATTTAGTGATACTAATTGCCATTTCTTAGACATATCGTAAATAATTATTTATATCTTTATTGCCATTGCACTATCAAATATGTGAATTTTAAATATAAATCTCGTTCCATTCCATTTTATATTGAAAACTTATTTGCTTTCTTCATTATATAACAAAATAAAAATATTAATAAAACTGTGATATTTTAACACTACCCACAATTTATTTTTGAATGGGAATTGAACGAGATATCAATATTCAAATGCTTTATTAAATCAATATGTAAATAAGTCTGGTAATATTGAACGCACAAATGAAATATCAATCAATATATAAATTATTTACCTTTTCTTTTTCAATTTTATAATCCATCCGGAAAATAACCACGACTAATTTGATTTAATAAAGATATTATAAAAAAGGATTGTGGATTGCTCCACTTTGATGCATATATTATTTTTATAATATTCATTTGTTATTCTGGAATAAGTAAAAATAGATAATAATATTGTATTTATCAAAAGCACAATTTTGTTTAACCTGTCATTGTTTGACCGTAAAATATTCAATATGTACATTAACATAATGACCACAGATTTTTTTATATTCAGAAAAATATCTTAAAATAAATATTATTTTAAACAATATTTAAGAACTTATTTTACAAAATGTAAGTACATAAAAGTCTGATAAATAAAAGTGTGAATCAAATAAACAGATCCCAAGTCAGAAATGCATTCATTAATCGCAAGCATCGATAACGCAATTTTTCTACAATTTTATTCATCTTTGAAAATAAAATTACTGCTTACGCCATATATTATTAGTGATATATAAAAGCTTATTGGTCAAAAAAATTTCGTCCTAGTAAACTATTTCAAGATGCCAATAATTATTCTCGTATATTAGATTTGTACCTAATATTTAATAATGTTATTACATACTTTTGTAAAATTGTTTACAGAAGATAATTTTTAACATAAAAATTGTGATCATTTGGTAACATTTGTTGGTAGTTTTAGTTTATTGCACTTGTGAAATTATTTTGTATATTTTAGTTCTAATGTTGCAATTTGTTCTCTTTCACATCATCTATTTGTTATCAGTTATCACTTATCACCTATGAAGGATGTAAATGTTATTTTAAAAATGTTTTGATTTAAACTTATTTTAGTTTTATATATTGGAGTATAGAGTATGGTATACATAATAATACACATGTAAATATATTTTTGTAAAATGTTACATTTTTGATTAATTACGTTTTTAAAACTACTGTAGAAGTTTTATTTCTTTCCAAACGGTTAATGTATGGAGTCCTAGTTGATCAATTCGGATTAGCACATGCCTTATTTGTAGACCCCCCAGAACAATTCTTTTTTAAATGTTATTTATAAGAATTATACAACTAAAATTCTTAAACATTTATTAGAATTAATTTCGTTACTAAATTACAAGAATTAAGATTATAAGAGAAATAAATTAAGAGAATTGACTTCAAATGACGACCTTCCGCCATTATACTACTTTACTATTAGAACTACGTCGGCTTTGCAGGTCGATGTAGTAGTTGACACACCGTGTAGATGGCGCTGTTACAGAATTATTTCACATCTGAGATTTTGTTTTACCAGATTTCTGCCTTAAAGTTGCCAATTTATTTGAAAACCTCTAAAATGAGAATATTTACCTGTTGATTTTGTATCTTGTTTAATTACTAATGAAATAGTTCTATAACAGCGCCATCTACACGATGTCAAGTACTATATCGACCTGCGAAGCCGACGTTGTTTATTCTATAGCCCTGTTATTAATGACCAGATGATGAGAGCTAAAAAAAAATATTGACCTTGGCCTGACAGAGTTGGTCCGATACAATGTCGCGATCTGAGAGGTATGCTCAAAGCTATCAGTTTTAGCAGTCATAGAGAACAACAGTTTTTTGCAATTTTTAATTCATGATAGTTTGAAAATACCACAATTATTATGGGAAATATTTTTAAAGACGTGTTTGCCTTGCACTTTGTTATACGTGAGACTCTAAAGACTTGTTATCGGGAACAGGTAGAGATATTAAGTTGATATTAATATTAAATACTACCGCACACTAGTGAAAGTACAAAAAGTCAACTTACAATTTTATATGAAAACACAAAGTGCACACATGCGCTGCACAGTTACACAATATTGTGACGTCACAAAAATTTCCGCTGACTATAACTTACAGCCTACTAGATCCTACCCCTGGGCACAGGCCTCCTCTCATTTCTGAACAGGTTTTAGAACTAAGAAAAGTCCGCCGCGCTGCCCCACAATACGTGTTGGTAGACTTCACATCATGTCTTCGAAATATTTTTTTTTAATTTCTAAGACATGCAGGTTTCCTCACGATGTTTTCCTTAACCTTAGAGCACGTGGTAAATCAAACTCTTAAAATTGTAGTCAATAATTATATTGATGTTGGCGAGGTTCGAACTCGGGTTTGCTCGCGTATTATGATATTTACTGAGAGCAGTTTAGCCCCTGAGCTACACGGAGACAGACTCTCACCTCTCACCTTCCGTTGGATAATATATGCAGTGTACTCATTGCATCATTCTTTGTGTCACCGAACAACGTCAGTCCATCGTAAGTATGAATAATTAATCTTTCAAATCTTTGAAGTACACATGGGGCAGTCAAATGTCACCTTCTTCTCCTTCTTCTTAATAACTGGCTTTACGGCTCTGGGATCTATCCCTTCTGAGCCTGAAGTTACAATATTATATTATACTAATTATTCTTCATAGTATACGGCTTCACAATATGTTTGTTAAGGCCCCCAGCTGCCCCGGCAAAAGTCGACTGGGCTAGGACCCATAGTAGCCTCCTCGACGAACAGCCGAGGGTTCGGACCCAATGGCCTATGGACAATTATTCTAAAACGGCTGACAAGCAAACAAAACTTGAAAAAACAACTTCAGAAAAGGCTACGTAATGACCCTCACAATGAAATTCTTTGCATTACTTACCGACGCTACCGAAATTACTGTAACAACTTAATAAAAAGACTAAAAAGAAAATATGACAGGGACTCCATCACAAAATCTTTAAATAATAATAAATTGCTTTGGAACAATATTAAAAACATTGTTACGGCCTACGGCTGCTCCCTTAAAGGATCCAATCCTCAGGGGCCCATGAGCTGAAGACTTCCCGAACAGACGTAGGTCGGGCCTCAATGTGGCCACGTGGAATCTCTCGAATTACACTAAAATATATGGGGGAGCGTTCTATACTACGGCCAGTCGACCGGCAGAGGAATTAGGCGGAGCTTACTTACCTATATCTAAGACGACTGATCCCTCCGGAGTCGGTCAGGTCACATATGGTTGTGTAGTGAAAGGGAAATAAGTGATGTGATCTGTATCTGGGTGTGACTGATGGTGATTGAACCTAGACCTTGGCCGTCGGCAGCAGCCCG